TATATGTGAAGGCTGTAGACATTTCTGTTCCCATCCATACCTTAGATCCATGGGATGTCTTGATTCCTCTTTCCAATGATAAAAAATCCCCCCTCAGAAAAACCAAGCTAGCCAGAATGGGAGAAAATTTATGCCAACTACATATTTGACAGAGGATTATCAAGAACATACAAACAACTCAAAAAACTAAAAATCATGAAAACAAACAATATAATCACAAATGGGTTGCACAGGCTAATGGCGGTGACACACACCTTGAATGCCAATACTCAGGAGACAAAGACAGGTGGATCCATGTGTTCCACATGCTCCTGGTCAACAGAGTGAGTTCCCAGAACAGTCAGAGAAACACACAGAGAAATTCTATCTTGAAAAAACAAGCAAAAAAGAAAAGAAAAAACATGTTGCATAAATGAACAGTTTTAAGAAGAATTATAAATAGCTAGTAAAAAATTTAAAAAATATTCACCATAATTAGCCATAAGGAAAATGCAGATTTAAACTACTTGAGAGTCCATCTCACTCATCTCAGAATGGCTACCATCAAGAAAGCAAATAACAACAAATATAGATATGGATGGGGGCAAGGAGAACACTTGGTATCACCATTATGGAAATCAAGCAGAGGTTTCTCAAAAAGATAAAAATATAATTACCACATGGTCCTTCTATGTCAATCCTGGACACATACCCATGGACTCCATATTGTCCTGCACACATCTCTTCTCTATTCATAGTATCCAGAAAAATAAAATCAGCCTGGATGCCTATTAACTGATGAATGGATATTGAATATGTAGCACCTATACATAATGGAATTTTATTCAGCTGCAAAGAATTGTAAAATTATGAAATTTGCAGAAAAATGGATGGAATTGCAAGACATAATAGTGAGCTAATCCAGGCCCAGAAAGATAAATGTTCCATGTTATCCCTCATATGTGAATCCCAGCTTTGATTTTTTTGATTTGCATGTTTAATTTGGAGTGTCTGTAGAAGTCAAAAAGCTAGAATGGGCCCTTGAGATGGGGTGCTATTAGAAGCGACGTGGCATCCCCTCCCCTGTGTGGTGATATATTATTTATGATTTATTAAAGCTTGCCTGAGAGTTCAGAATGCAAAGCTAGCCACAACTCATAGAGGTCAGGCAATGGTGATGTATAACTTTAATCACAGCAGCTATACTAGCAAGTCATGGAGCCAAGCAGTAGTTGCACACAACTTTAATCCCAGGACTCAGGGGACAGCCAGATGGATCTCTCTGAGTTCAAGGCCACCCTGGCCTAAACAAGAGTGAAAAGTAACATAGCTCACACCTTTGATCCCAGCACCAGGAAGGCACCACCCAGACAGGAGTAATATGGCTGGCCTGAGAAAGGAATATAAGGCAGGAGGAGACAGGAACTCATAGCTTTTACCTCTGAGGATTCATGGAGAAAGGATTGTCATTTCAGCCTGGTAGAGGAAAGATCTACTGGGTTGGCTGCTTTGTTTCTCTGATCTTCAGCTTGAACCCCAATATCTGTCTCTGGGTTTTTATTATTGCTGTTATATCCCTGGGCTCCATATTCCTGACTACAACATTAGAAGAAAACTTAGGCTTTAGTAGAGGCCAAGCCAGATCTAGGGTCCCAAGGTAAAGATGCAACCCACCACTTGTTAACACTCCTTAAAGCGTCCCATATCCTGGGCTCTATACCCTAGCCCACAGTCCTAACAGCTTTGCTGGAGACCAGGCTTGTTCTAGGGACCCCAGGTAAGCCATCCCCCACTGCCCACTAATACTCATTAAAGCCTGCCCAACAACCCCAGACTGCACCCTCTCCCCTGCATCCATAATCCTACCTACACAATGGCTGGAGGGACTGGGAGGAGAGAAGGGAGGGGAAACTTTGGTTGGGATGTAAAATAAATAAATTTAATTAATTAAAAGTAAACTAAATAATTTGAAAGTCAAAAAGAGGTGACATGATAGTAAGACACATGAAAGTTGAGGGGAGTAATATTTAAAAGTTAAAAGGCTTAAATGGAGATTGGGGTGGTATGATAGGGGAGAGTAGAGAGTAGGGTTGGGTTAACTAAATAAGGATGTACGCAAACCTCTTATGGTTTCACTACAGTGAAAACTAATAAAAATATAATGAAATGAAAGAATTTTCAACACACGTACCCTGTATTGATGGACAGTGCTTGCCCCAGAAAACATAAATTATTAAGTTAAATCCCAGTGCCAGGTGAGAGATACCTGCCTGTGAGTTATTGTTCAGAGAGGCTCCAGAGCTATTAATACCAATACAGGTATTGCCGTCGTTCTGGGTTACCTACCATAACTAGATGTTGAAACCATATTGCTTAAGATACAGCATACTTCAGTTGTAGGGCATAGAGAAATAATGCTGGAACTCATTTGAAAATTCCCTCTCTGCTATTCAATTTTCATAGTGCTGGAAGATGCTACACAGACCACCTGGAAGATGCTATGCAGACTAGAAAAGTCATCAATGGTATTACTCACTGGTAAACCCTGAGTGCAAGAATATCTACCTTCTAGTCAATATGTGCACACTATTTTAACAGTGATATGCCTTATCAGAATAACCAACTACTTTCTGATTAATTTGAGGTCTGATATACAGGAAGAACTCATATTTAATACTATAAACCTAGTCAAGAACTCATGAGTAAGTAAGTCATACTCCCCAGAGGGGAACTTACTACTGTTTGTTTGTTAAATGGATATGTTGTCAAAATGACTTCTAAACATGTTTATAGCAATAGATTAGTGCTGCTCTTAACCTTAGTCAGAGAAGCTTCTGCCATGGATAGCAGTTCATGCAGTGACTCCCAAATGGTCAAAATTCTAAGAATGACAGCTAAATATTTAACCCTAAATGGAACATCCATTTCAAACCTCTTAAGGCTCAAGGAACATTACAGAAGAGAAAGTGAAACAAATGTTAAGAGCCAGAAGATGGAGAGGAGTGTTATGAAATGCTATCTTCTGGACATGACATGGTCATTACACTCATGAACTTAGAGCAGCTGTAGTTATCTGTATACAACCTGCACATAGTCGAGCCAGCCCAATCAGCTAAAATTCCAACAGGCAGGACTAATTGGACTAACTGGGTTACAAAACAGAGAGAGGACATGAAAGTGGAAGGGAAGTATGCTGGGAAGTGTCTAATGGGAATAGGAAAGAGAAGTTGAAGTACCTCTGCATGAAATCACCAGAGGTTAAATAAAGGACAAACAAAACATAAAAATAAGGGCTGGAAATTGATGGGGGAAGTCCTTCTGTATATTGTTGCACCCTTCCCCCATGGGGGTCTGTTGACTGCTTGTTACTAGGGGCTTTTAGCAAAACATTTCTCATCCCCTCCTTCCAGGAAGGCCTGCATGCAAGTTCTTGTTTATTGTCTAAAAGCTAATTCCTGGTTTTGGCCCACCCCTTTGCAGGAGGGCCCTGGGAACATAGGCTTCTGACCTTGGTGTTTTTCCACCATACCTGTCTTTGGTATATAAGGCTCTACTCTTGTAAAAATAAATGCCATTCACCTTGTAAGAATGAGCCGCTGTCTTTGTCTTTATTTTCTTCCTTAGTCCTTAGCCTCGGATTGTTGTGAAGTATGGTAGCACTGTAGCTGCGAACACACCGGCAGCTCGCTACATATATATATATATATATATATATATATATATATATATATGTGTGTGTGTGTGTGTGTGTGTGTGTGTGTGTGTGTGTGTGTGTTTCTCTTATTGGTTGATGAATAAAACACTGATTGGCCAGACAGGAAGTATAGGTGTGGCTATAAGAGGAAATAGAAGGAGAGAGAGGGGCAGAGAGAGACACCATGTAGCCAGCAAAGGAGTAACAGGTCCAGGCATTCTCTAGTAAGCCAAGACCACATGAAAATACATAGATTAATAGAATTGGGTTAATAATTAAGACAGAGGTAGCCAATAAGAAGCCCTATTCATCAGCTAATAGTTTATAAATTAATATATGTCTCTGTGTGCTTATTTGAGGCTGAAGATAGAGGGGACTTGGCAGGAAGAAAACTCCAGCAACAGAAAATATAGTTCAATGGTGACATATTTGCCTACCTTATATGAAACCTTAGGTTCAATCCCTAGTACCACCAAAAAAAAAAAGGAAAAAGAAAAAGAAGATGAGAGTTCAAGTAATCTTCTGCTGTGGCAAATATTACATAATAGACTGTGGGAAAGCCCTAGAGGTGGGGCTGAGAAACAGGCTTTTGGCATAGGGGATGTTTAATTTCTTTCCTAGCAAATGAAGTAACTGTTTCAGTACACAACACTTCAGAGATAAGGCAAGAGAAAAAAGAACTCCTTGTAGTTTTATGAAAAATTATTAGATAACTGGTTGGTGTTTGCATTTATGGAAAATTTTGATTTTATAACTAGAAATATCTTCTTTGGGTAGACAGTAAGGTTCAAAAAAGATTTCAATGTGCCCTACAAGTTGTTTTTGTTTTCAAATTTAGACTGTACAGACCTGTCTTTTGGAGGGCTTATTTCTCCACCTTTCACCAGCTAAGCAAAAGTATATAAAGAATCTGAGACTGGAACTGATAAGTATTTGTTCTACCTTACTATTACTTGCTCTGGCTCTGAGCTATTGAGGCTTGCCTGGGGAGGAGAATCAAGTGCCCTTCTTCTTGAACTGGGTACCACTCTCTAGGATCATCCTTTTACAGACTCACTTACAGTTCACACCTAGTTGAATTCCTCTTCCTCTAAAGTGGAGGAAAATTAGGGGCCCTTTTTGAACTGGATGCCACTGTCCAGGGTTATCATTTCATAGACTCACTTATCAGTTCACATTTGGCTGAATTACTCTTCCTCTAAGGAGAAAAGCTCTAAAGAGAGAAGGAAATTGGATAAGTTAGGTCCTGAAACAGGCTTTACTTGGTTGGAAAATAACCTTCTTGATGTGCATGGGGTGCCTCAGCAATAAGAGGGGTTGGGAGTCATTCTAGTAACCATTGCATTTTTATTAACTTTTTTAAACAAATATAACAAACAGTTTCTTTTCTTTCATAAAACCAATTTAAAACATTTTAAGCATAAGATACATGAATAAATGCAGCCTATGTATATGTCTGTCCTGACAGCTGTTGTCAGAGGTCCTCAGCCCAGTAATGACCACAGCAAAATCTCCTCTAGAGTGTCCTTGTCCAAAGGAGGTATTTTGGAGACTTCAAAGAAGGTCCTGCAAAGGGAAATGTGGTCTTCTTAGAGGAAAATAATACAAAGCAAAACAGGTTCCAAAGAGGAAATGGCACATTAGAGCCCTTGGTTTCCTATCTGGCTTTAACTGTAGAATAGAAAGGAAGGTGTAAAGTTTCTGAATCCTCTCTTTTAAATTGAGAATGTTCTAGGCCCACTGTTTTATAGAGTTTCGTGAATGACACAAACTCAGCTTTAACTGGAGTTTGGTACTTACTCTTCAGCATACTTCTCATACACATTCTTGAGGCAATTATGGGGTTGGAAAATTAGTGAATTGTTCAGCTTTCTGACCAAGGTCTGAAGCTCAGCGATCTCGTAGCCAGTATAATGTTCCAGTAAAGGAATCTGAAAAAGGAAGAATGAACAGCAACTTCTACTATTGAAAGTATACTCTTGCCTCCAATTATGCTACACAAATCCAAACATCCCATCTCTTGTTTAGGCAGGGGAGATACTCAAAACATTTCAAAGACTCACGTGATACAGATACTAAGTAATAATTATAGGGTAGCACCTAAAAGAGTAAGTCTCAAACATAAACTTCTAAGATGATTATGTTCAAGTATTATCATTTATATGTTTACCCTAGTTATAGGTGTTCATGTGAGCTAAAATCCACCAAAGACCACACTCATTCCTTTAGTATCTTCACATCTTTTCATTTAGTACTTTGCCCACATCTGATATCTCTTCTTACAAGTTCTACTTATCTTTCAAGATTGGGCTTTAAAGTAACCTCTTCTGGGTATGGATGGGATACTGAAATATATGATATGAAAGTAGATGGGAAGGATTCTGAGGATGGAAAGCTTTAATTGAGGATGGGGATAGGGGTTGCAGGAAAGCAAGGGTGGATGAGTTAATTACTTTTAAAATATAATAATAATAAATCTTGAACAGAGCTATCCTGCATGAGTGAATAATACTGCTTCCAGAAGCCATAGGCTAGTGAGCAAAAATGCCAATGCCAGGTGTGGGATACCTCCCTATGAATTGTTGGTCAAGGAGGCCTCAGATGCCTCCAAATCAATACATGCTATTGATGTTGCTTTTTCTCTGCCCACAACACACTTCGGTTGTAGAATATAAGGAAATTGAGTTTAAACTGAACTACTAGCTTCCTTCCTGCTGGCTAGCTTTCATAGTGCCATAAGGTGCTGTACAGGTCAATTAGGAAGAAAAGTTATCAACAGACAAACCTAGTAGAAAACCCTGAATGCTACAATACTTATCTGCCAGTCAAGATATACCTAATGGCATATTAGTGGCATGATTGTTATAGAAGTAAACAACTACTTTCACAAGCCTGTACTATATATAACCCTGGTCAAAAGTCTATGGCTAGGGAGATTAAAGGTCCTAGTGGGAAACTTGATACTATTGTTTGCTAAATCAATGCAAGTCAAACTGCCTTTTAAACATTTATGCTTTGGCATCTAACTCTCCACCCAAGCAGATCCTGCATACAATTTTCCAGGGTCAGATATAGTGGATCTTCTTGACCTTCCCCTCCATACAACCTGACCAACCTTCCAGATCTAACCTGGATTCCATATCCAATGCTTCTGCTTAATCTGTCCACTCCTGCCTGCTCCAAAACCAATCTTTAAGCTTTTTCTAGAACCTGTCCTGGCTGACCTCCAAAACACAGGTTCCTCTAATACATATCCAACCTTTCTGCCCAGACAGATATATCCCTATCCTCCAGGGTTAAACCAGTATGCACATCCATCAAAACAGTCCAATTCCTTCTGTCCATCTAACTTCATTTCACCTAAGCCATTCCAACCTCTAGGCCAAACCTATCCCCACATCTTCCCTTTTTCCTTAATCTGCTATGTCTGCGTCATACACAGAACTAGCAAAAGAAATCCATATGACCATATTTCATAGCAAGAATGCAAATAATATGAAAGATAAAAGCAATTATCTCCCCCTCCAAAACTTACCAATTCCATAGAAATGTTTGCTATTGAGAATTACCTAGAAGAACTCCAAGACACAGAGTTTAAAAGAACAAATCATAGTCTCCACCAAAGAATTCAAAGAGTTTAAGTTACTAATTTCATTGAGATGTTTAACCAAGTGGTTCCCAAGAAAACAAAAACATAAAGATGACAGAAATGACAAAGACAATCCAAGATTTGAAAGTGAACCTCAACAAAGACATAGAAGTACTGAAGATGAAAGCTGAAATGAGATGGAATTGAAAAAATACCAAAACTCTAAGATAAAGTAGAACATATAGACCAAATAAGCGAAGAATATGAAAACTATTTTGAACACGAGAAAGGAAGATGCAAGAAATGTGAAACAACTTGAAAAATCAAACCTTTGAATTACAGGCATCAATAAAGGAGAAGAATCCCAAGACAATGGTGTAGATCAGATCTTCAACAATATCATAGAAGAAAACACCCCCAAACTAAGGAAATATACAAACACAAGAAGCACATATAACATCAAATAGAAAATACCATAAAAGAAAATCCTTCCACTATAGATAGCATAGCTAAAATACTAAGTATAAAGTACAAAGAATGTTGAAATCTGCAAGGAAAACAAAAACAAAAACTGAAGCCACATATAAAGGAAAATTTGTGAGAATAACAATTGACTTCTCAATGGAAATTTGAAAACCAGAAAAGCCTGGAGTAACACATTCCAATTCCTAAAAACACATGACCAACTTGACTAATATACCTAGCAAAAATATCTGCTGTAGTTGAAGGAGAAAGTTAGACTTTCCAGGATATAAATATCTTAAACTTTTTATTTTCAATAAACATAATCTAAGAAAGAAACATAGGAGCAATACTTTGGGCTGAAGAGAGCAATGAGCATAGCCAAGAAACTGGGGAAACAAACACAAAGTCATAATTAGTAAGATACAAAGTGCCACTTAGAACACAAACAATACCAAAATAAACAATAAAATAATCACAATTAACTCACATGCATTTCAAAAATAACTTTAAATATTAATGGACTCAAGTTTTCCAACAAAAGACACTAGTTTGCTGAACAGAACAGGAAACTAAACCTACCCATCTCTTGTTTTCAAGAAACACGTCTTATCTTTAAACACAGTCACTACCTTAAAGATGAACAAAAGTACTCTAATCAAGTTGAACCTAAAAGCAAGGACACATCACTATCCTAATAGTAGAAAAAACAGACTCCACACTAAAAGTAATCAGAAGAGATAAAGAGGGACAATCAAGGGAACAGTTAATCATGAAGACATTACACACACACACACACACACACACACACACACACACACGCAGGCACGCACGCACACACGCACCAAAAATTGGAGTGCACAATTTCATTTAAAAAGATTACTATTGGATTTAAAGACACATATTAACTTCAACCTAATAATAACATGTGGCTTCAATATCTAACTTTTTCCAATGGACTAGTCATCTGGACAAAAATTATATAGAAAATCATTAGAAATAGATGCTATCATACATCAAAAACAGCTACAGAATATTCCACACAAACACAAAAGAATATCCATTCTACTCAGAAGCACATGGAATCTTTTCTGAAATGGGCCACATTCTGGGGCACAAAACAAATCTTTAAAAATTCAAAAAGGCTGAAATCACTCCTTGAGTATTATCTGACCATAATGAAATAAAACTTAAAGTTTCCATAGCCCCAGAAGCTTTAGCAGAGGCCAGAGTGGTCCTAGAGATAAGATATTACCCACCATCCATTAATCCCCTTTGAGCCCTAGAATGTACCCCTACCACTGGGCTCTATATCCCTACCTACTACTTTGGAAGATTTTACTAGAGGCCAGGCATGATCTAGAAACCCCAGGTAAGATGCCACCTACCACCTTGACAAAAAAGATGACTCTAAATGGATCAAATATCTAAATGTGAAACCTAGAACACTGAGACTTCTAGAAGAAAATATAGGCAGTATCCTACATGATATAGGTGTTTAGGAAAGGACTTTCTGAATAGGACTCCATTTGCCCAAGAATTGAGACCAACAATTGACAAGTGGGACTTCAGAAATCTCAAAAGCTTCTGCACTACTAAAGAAATAATCACCTGGAGGAAGAGGAAGCCCACAGAATGGGAGAGAATCTTTCCCAGAGATACCTCTAACAAAAGATTAACATGCAGAATATAAAGAAGTAAACAAAAACCCAAATAGTCAAAAACAAATAACCCATTCAAAAATGCACTCAGGACCTGAATAGAGAGTTATTAAAAGAAAACATAGCTAAGAAACACCTCAAAAATGCTCAGAATTCCTAGTAATTAGGAAAATGCAAATAAAACAACTTGTAGATTTCATCTTATCCAAGTTGGAATGCAAAACATAACAGAAACCTGAAATACTGAAACTGCTAGGAAAAAATCAATACAATTGGTACAGGATCACCCAGCTGTCTGTGTGGCACTTCCTCAGCATTCAGAGGTTTGCTCATCAAGAGTGGCTCTGAATTTCTAGATATAGAGGGCTTAGAAATGGCTCAGTAAGGGCTACATATCAGTAAGAATTCAAAGTTCTCAAAAGTTGCTTTTCTCTACAATATTTTATAAAATTGAGGAAAGTATCAAATATGAAGTCGAATTAAAGGCTTTATACTTCAGACAGTAGCACTACAGGCATGCCCTGTTACACACATGGACAGATATTTTTAATATTCTATAGTCTCTGTGTCAGGGTTTCTCAAACCCTAGTCCAACAAGATCTTTAAGAGGCCAGTTCTGCTAAGGACATTACAAAGGACAGAAATGGAATGGGGTAGAGGATAGGAAGTGAGCCCATCACAGATCCTATGACAACCAGAGTGACTTCACATTGGCCTGTTTTGTAATTTTGGCTTTTCTGGGACACTTACTTTAAAACAAAAAGTGTTACAGTATTGTAGCTAACAAAAACTAAAAATTTTAAAGTAATCTCTCTAGAAAACCTTGCCATACATTGTGCAAGTGTTAAAAAAAACCATAACTACAGGAACATAGCAGTTTTGTTGTAAGAACTTCCCACAGTCCTAATTTTCACCTCATCTTAACCTATTGTGAGTATTTACCCGAAGTAGTTTGTGTGTGTGTGTGTGTGTGTGTGTGTGTGTGTGTGTGTGTGTGTGTGTGTGTGTGTGTTCATGCACAGGCCAGAGGAAAATATCAGGTGGTCTTGTTCTATTACTATCCACCTTATTCTTTGAGACAGAGTTTCTCACTGAACCTAGAGCCAGGCTGGAATTTAGCAAGTTCCCAATGATTCTCTTGTATTGATAACCCGCATCTCTCCCCATCACACACACACACACAGACTAGGAGCACAATCCAAAATAGCCATGCATAGCTTTTACATGAGTGTTGAGGGTTTGAACTTAGAAGATCATGCTCTTAGCAACTAAGTCACCCCATCCATTTACACAATTGTTGAGATTCCTCATGTAAAGGGCCAAGGCAAAGGAGGCTGCAGCTAGTTTTGAAGGCCTCTCTTGGACATAGTCATATTCCTGCAGGGTCATCTCACAGATGAAGCGGGACAAGGTTAGTGTCTTCATGCTAGCACGGACACACTAAAGGAAATAAGAAGACTGGTTAGACACACTAAAGGAAATAAGAAGACTGGCTAACAATCCATTTAGAAAAATAGTATCAGTCAGAATAATCCCTTTCAAGTTATCCCATCCCTAGTCCACATGGTTCTCTGCTTGAACAAAGTTCTTCACCTGCTACCATGACCCCATTTATAGACTCCTGCCTATAAGGCCTTCAAGGTATGCAAGTGACCCAGGCCCCTCTTGACAGCTTCCAATTGCCAGGTTCTACCCATAAAATACTCTTAACTGCCCCAATGGCCAGCTCTAGGCCCACCTAAGTTCTGGATTTGTAAACCTACCAATACCCTTCCTGGAAAGCTCCCTGCCCAGAAACGCTATATAAACCTCGTCTTCTGCTCAGTTACATGCTGCTTCTCACCTAATTAGAGGCAGCCACAATCCTAAATTTTCCCCTCCCAATAAATCTCTTGTGTGAGGTTTGTTGTGTGATCTGACTTTGCAGTATTCCTTGGCTCCAAACTGCCAGGATACCTTTCCCTTTAGAGCTGTAACACTTTGAATAAACACTTCCCAAACTGGAGCAAAGCTATCACACTTGCATTGGGGAAACCTTTCCCCTAGGAGCAGAACTGTAACACTTACACTGCCTACAAAAATGCATTCACTCCAGGAAAAGATTATGATACTGGCATGGAGATTGGTCATCTTTATGGCCCCTAAATTATCAAATAACTCTCTTTGCTGTAGTAATCATCCTTTGAAGGATCAAAGTCTCCCAACTGTGACTCTATACATAGTCCTACTCTAGGAAATGCTTCATGTTCCAAAACATTCCCTTCATTCCTATGTTCAAGTATTTTTAACTTATAACACACATATAAAACAATTGTAGGATACAATGAATAATTAAAGGGCGATCTTTCCCATAACCAATATTCAACTAAAGAAAATAATATTGCCAGTATTTTCCCCAAAACATATGCATCTTCTCCTGATAAAAGAATATTTTACCACATCCCCTAGTCTGCCCTTATCCCAAAATCATATAGGTACATCACAGAAATGTATAACTTGCCACACCCCAAGTATCTGATAAACAACCTTTCACCAATAAATCTACCAGCCACTCTGAATACAGAAATGATTAATCCAAAAGTAAAATAACTAAGCTATATCTCCTCCCCGTTACCGAAGCATATCTACGCAGAAAAATATATGCAGTGGGAATATTGATATCAAAGTTGAGGGTTTTCAGGATGTTCATTTCCAAGGCAACCATATCACGTTGCTGATAAAGATCTTCACAAATATAAAGGAACTCTGGCAGAGAAGGTGGATAGGATTCCTGTGGATAGAAAAGAGACACGGTCATCCATGTACATCCCTTTCATCTTTAACTATGATAAAGGGAAGGGGAGAGAAGTGAAATAGGGATGTCAAGAACTTTGGATATATGCCAAGGAGTAGTGGCATAGGTGTGTCATATGGTTCTTTTTTTTTTTTTTTAGCTTTTTGAGGATTTCCCAAGCTTAATTCCAGAATGGCTGTACCAAATTGCATTCTCACTAATAGTGAACTGGGGGTCACCTTTCCTCATATCCTCACTAGCATTTATTTTCAGTTGTCTTGTAATGTTCTCCCTCAAAGCCACAGAATATCAAGCAAGCCTCACTGAGCCAGGCATGAGAAACCTCCTTTCAAGCTATTTGTCAGGGTAGTCCAGGGGATACCCAAGACAACATAAGCTACTGCTGTTACTTTCAGCTGCCTCCTAGAGTTTGAAAGAAAGCCCCTGTTTTTCTGAAGACACCACACATTTTGAACATACACAACTATGGAGGAAGAATTTGAGCTGTATTTGATCTGAGAGCTTCCTCCCAGAGGTCTAGCTTTCATAGTACCAGGAGGAACTATACAGGCTGCCAAAAGAGGGAAGCAATCAATAATCCTACCCAGCTATAATATCTATGGATCACAATAATGACCAGCATGGCAAGATAGCCCTAAAAGTGCAACAATGACACTCCTGTCATTGTGGTAACCAACAGTTATCTAATTAGACTTAAGGCCACTTCAACAGGAAGAAAATAATATCTGCTACTGGAAACCTAGCCAGCTTCCCAGAACTAGTGAGGTTATTCATCTTAGAGAAGAACCCACTACTGCTGCTTCACTAGACCAGCAAAATTCCTAACTGCATTCTAAACCGTACTCCAAGCCCCACTCCTACACAAAGAACAGCAGGCAATTAATAACTGCTAAGAGAGGGAGAATTAGTCTTTCTCAGAGATGAGCCCCTCATTTGGTTATCCAATACCAAGTGGTCAGTCCTAAAATCATGTACATACAAGCAATATTAAATGGACTTGTAGGCTGTGTTTTTATATTTAAGTGTGTATGTAAAAAACTAATAATCAAAGAAAAAGAGGACATGAATTTGAAATGAAGTAAGAAGGTTTGGGAGATGGAGGGAAATTAAGTGGATAAATAATGTAATTACATATGAATTATACTTTCATAATTAAAAACTCTGGATGCCAGAAAAATGGCCTAGCAGTTCAGAGTGCCTACTGCTATTACTGAAGACCCAAGTTTGGTTCCTAGTCGCCACATTAACAGGCTCACAGCTCTGAAGACATATGACATCATTGATTCTATGGACACCTGAACTCACATGTGCAGACTCACAAAGAGATAGATGCACATTATTAGGAAATAAAAATAAATACTTTATAAATGTCTTACAGTATTTCTAAATCCCATAAGGGGAAGACATCCTTCTTCCACAGGCCTTAGTAGATGCCTTCTGTTCTGACCATAGGAAGAGTATTTAGGATTCCAAAGCTTGCTAAAACTACCCCATTCCTTTCTTCACCTTTCTTCTTGCTCTATCTAGGTCCAGCCTTTGAAAGTAAGGTGTTTGGTGGCATCTCTAATGATAAGTACAAAGGAGCCCTTGAGCAGGGAAGGAATGAGATAGAGAATGAGGGACCAAGAAGTTAGAAAAAGAAGCAAGGAAAAGGGAAGGGAGGGAGCAGACACACAAAAATACAAAGGGGGTGGGGAGCCAGCAGATACACCAAAAGAAAAAATAGTGTCAAAGTTATTAGAGCCTTTTAATGGAAACTGCTACCTCCTAAATAAGGGAAAGAATTAGAGAGGTTAGCTAGATGGATTATGATCATGAAGAAAAGGCCAGTTGTCTTTATACTGTTACTTCAAAAATAACTATTTCACCCAAAACATTTTAGACTCACTATAATCTACACCAACCATTTTCTAGTTACTGTCACCAGCAATCTACTTTGTTTTATTATAGGTGCAGATAGATTCCCCTAGACAAGGATATGGCTGGTGGAACAAGAAAAGCTTAGGGAGAGGGGCAGAAAATGATGAATGAGCAGGTAGTTTTTAACAGAACTGCCTAACAAATTATGTACCTGTGCCCAAAAAGAATCTTTAAACAAGTGACCCTTGCTGCTCCCAGGACAAATATAACCACCAGTGTCAACCAAGAACTTTCCAGAGTGAGGAAATACACAAAAATTTGGAAAATATCTGTATGTATATGTGTATGTATATATGCATGTGTGTGTAATTTACATACACATAAATTTATAGAGATGCATATACACAATTTTATTTATATGTATATGTACATATACATATCATTCTATATTTAGGATGAATATTCTGTAAGTGCTCTCAGACCTTAAGGATTTAGACTCACCTCAAATTTGGCTGCAATCATGTAGGCAGTGGAACCAAGGAGTTGTAGGTTATCCTTCTTGCATTGTTCCTTCATTAGGTAGTGATCCACTAGCTTTACTGTCAAAAACAGGGTCTCATGATTCATCTGAAAGGATGTCTGAAGAAACAAAGAAGATAGGAATCTGCATATTTTCCAAATAAATGGCCATCTCCAAACAAATCTAGAAACCTTGACTGTCTGGAGCACCAAGGACAGCCCTAGCCAGTTTGTACTCTGCTAGGAATGTGGAAACTACTCCAGAAAGGTACCGACATATACCTTTGTCTAACCCTTTTAAGTACCTTGCAATTATCTGTAATTATCCTTCAGACAGATAATCAATCTCACAAGCTAGACAGCGTCTGTGAGTTCCTTGAGTCCATATACCCTCTCTCTCCTGGAACTCTAACAGTCAGATTCCTGCTTTCCTCATTTGTCAGTAACTTGTAACCTCCACAGAGATAGTGTTTCTTTAGATCCAAAACACTGAGACAGGTCTAAAAGTCAAGTTTCTAACAGGCCCATCTTCCTTTCTAGAAGTTCTAGTAAATAATGTCTTGCTTTCTAGTTTGCAGCATCAACTCACAATTTTTGGTCTGTTGCCCCTTTAATCTCCCAAAACCTATGAGTAACTAGACAAATCTTTCTCATATTGTATTGCCCAATTTCTCTGTTCCACATTTAAGGACATCTGTAAATACATTAGTCTCACTCTAATAATCTGAGATCATTGGCCTATCTTAAATTCAGCTGATTAGCAACTTTAACATTTTCACATGTACTGGGGATTCTGTCATGGGAATTTTATTTTGCTCGCCGCAGTATCCAAATGAATGTCTTAAGATAGAAACAGGAAGAGATCACATAGGTCAAAAGTAATGGCTACAATCTTAAGTAGCAAATTGAAACCAGATAATCACAAACATTTATACGTATGCAGGAACGGGATGCAGTATCTAAGGATAATGTCTCTGTGAGAAAATGGTACAGGCAATACTTACATTACATCCTTCTAGTACACACTTACCCCTGCATGCTAGTTTTAAATGGTAATATACAAATACACAGGTAATATATGAACAATAATCCTGTATGCTTTCATGCATATGTGTGAGCGCCCATGTAAGGAGTGCATGCATGTGCACATGTAGAGGCTAGAGGTCAACCTCAGGTATTATCCTCAGGTGCCATCTGGCTGATTTTTTGAGACAGTCTCTCAGTGGGACTTGCAGCTCACTGATTCTGTTAGGCTAGGTGACCAGTGAGCTCCAGTGATCTGTCTTTCCTCACCCTTCCAGTGCTGGGATTACAGATACATACTATCATGCTTAGCCTTTCATATATAGGCTGGGGCTACACTCAGGTCCTTATGCTTGGCTGCAAAGAGGCTTCTATTCTAGTAAATGGGGTGAAACAGAAGATGAAATCAAGTTCTTTCCTGCTACATTCTTGCTGGCTACAACTTAAGTCCCATAAAACCAAGCCATTTGTAGACAATCTGCTTCTGAGAGAGTTTAATAGGTAGCAGAGCTGATTGCTTTCTTCAGCCTATTGAAAGTCTTAATGCAAGGGTTCTTAAAACAAGAAAACAAATGACAAAAAAGGTAGAGAAAAGGTAGAACATTATATAGCACAAACAATAACAATTCTTGAAGACAAAGACTAAACATTTAGATTAAAGCACCTTAAATTATTACAACATAATTATAGAAACAAGAGCCACACTTAAATATTTTTAATTCAAACGTAATATAATACCTCCAAGACTAGGGATTGAAGGCTTGTACCACAACTTTCATCTTGGGATTTGCTTGTTTTTTAAAAGTTTTTTATAATTTATTTATTCTTTTAAATTTCAATTTATATTCCAACCACAATTCTCCCTCCTGCCCCTCTTGATGGGGGGGGTAAGGGGAATGAGAGGAGGTGTGGGAGGAATTTGTTTGTTTTTAAGTAATGCAGACATATATAGTAGCACAGGCCTGTGCTCTCAGTACTCAGAAAGCTGAGGTAGAAGGATTTAAGGTTAAAGGTTGCATGTGTATTATTGACATAAACAAGAGACAGCAGAACCTTAACAACAAAATGTACAGAAAATTATCTGAAAGGATACACTTCAAATAATATATAGCTATTACCCTAGATTATAAATAGTATTGAAACGATAATTATTTGGTTTAATCCAGCCTCTGTACTTGAACAAGTTTGGCTAAAGCTGATTGACTGCAAAGTGAACTACAACCTGTAAAAGTTGTAACCCCAACTTGTAACCAAACAACTGAGTATCAGTCAATCAGAAGCTAAAGCTCTATAGATCCAGTGTGGTTTTAGAATATTTAATTTGAACTGAAAAGGAAAATAACAGCTTCTCAAGGTAGCAGTTGCCATGTTTACCTGTACTTCCACCAACCAGTCCACAAGAATGGCTCTCATATCACTGGTGAGTTCCATCTGCATGTCCATGTATTTCACAACTATGAAGTTTTCCTGATAGTATTGAAAAAGAAATGTTAATAATTATTCTTGTACTTCAAAATTTTAACAATTAACTTCTTTTTCATGGTTCTAAGACACTGCTTTCAACTGGTATCAGATGTGAGCATATCAGAGTATCCTTTTCTCAACAAGTTCAAGCTATCTTTGGGAAATGGACATATAAAATATTTAAGTATCAGAAGAGATATTGGAAAACCCACTCATGGCTGTCAAGGAATACTAAAAGAGTCATAATACTTCTTTGCAATCCAGTCTAAAACACAATACCATGCTGTGCAGACCAATGCTTTTACATCTTTGACATATATATGTAGTACTCAAATGCCAGTCATATAAGCTCCATGTTTTGATTTAGAAAAATAAGCTTTCCAATAAAACCTACCAGAGCCAGTCTACCCACCTGCCTGACCCCTTAGTCACCCCACTGGCCATTCCATGGACCGTGTGGTACCCTGTGAGCTCAAACTCAGGCATGGACCCCAAAGCTAGTTGGTGATCCACCCCATCCACTATGCTACCCAGAGATCTCATGGCTCCTATGAGTACAACTCCAAGTATAGATCTTCAGCCCAACCTACATCCTACCCACCTCCACAAAGGATGGTGTAACATTCTGTGCCCTACTTTCTGGGAGCACCTTTCACTCCCACTGAGATCCCAGACCCTGCTACCCAAGGACTACCTGTAAAACTGGGTAAGTGAACCCTCACAGACTTCTAAAGATCAGTTATAAGAATCTTCTAGCTACAGATGATCTGTTCCTGGGTTCAGAAGTTGCACCCATTCCTAGCTTAAATGAGACTACTTACGACATTCCATTTAAACATCAACAGAGTTGCTCCAATACTGAGCTTCAAGCGCCATTCAGCTGGACCACAACCTGGTAAGTTGGAGTAGCAGCAAACAAAGATCCAAATAACCACAACAACAAAGGTGATAGAGAGTCAATATCCATAACAAGAAAAAACCCCAACTTTTTAACTCCAGATGCCTAGGTCATATCACAAAAACAAACAAAAACCTACATTGAAATCACAGAATATGAAAAAGCACGACCTTAAAGTTTCATCCCTATTGGCTAGCTTTCCTAATCCTGGAAAGTGCTATGCTTGTTACCAGGGGAAAAAATTAATCATCAGGCTTACCCAGATGTGATCCCTGCAAGCTATAACAACAACTGTAAGCTATAATAGCATCTCTCCCTGTACAATAGTGGACTGAATGTTACACATTCTGATTGGATTTAAGGCATGCTCTGCAAGATGGAAGCCATACCTGTCACTATTATTGGGGCCAAAACCAGGGGATAGACAGACTTAAGGGATAACCTAACTGCTACTCTGCTGAAAGGACATGGTATTAAATCAACTCCTAGTGACTTAATGCTACGTCCATATATTACATACATCTGTCAACCCTCATTGGAGAAGCTTCTTTCAGTAGAAGGCAATTAACACAGACCCACAACTGGTCGATGTGCCAAAAATAAGACACCATAGAATGCTCAGCCCTAAATGGCTCAGGGATGCTTGTAGAAGAGGGAGTAGAAAGACTGTAAGAGTCAGAGATGATGGATGATTACATTGAAACAGTGTTCTCCAGGCATAATACATATGAATTCATAGTAGTTGTGATGGCATGCACAAGATCTGCGAACGCTCTACCCAGATAAAATCCCAGCAAGGAGGAGGCAGGAAGTGAACATGAAATTCCACCACTAGCTGAGGAGCTATTAGCTATTTCTAGCTTCTGGGAGAGGGGAAAGTCAGTTTTAAGAATGTGATTCTTGGTATATCAACCACACTCCAGGGTGGCCAAGAAATAATATAAGGGCAATCAAATTGGATTTGATGGGCTTATAAAAAGAAGACACAAAGTTGGGTGGGTATAGAGGTAAGGATGGATCTAGGAGGAGCTGGGAAGGAGTGTGAATATGGCCAAAGAATTAATGAAATGTCCTATATTTAAAAAAGGATTTCAGAAAATGAGAAAGAAGGCACAGAGCCAGATAGACAGAGAGGTGGGAGGATCTGGGAGTAGACAAGGGAGGGAAAACCATATCAGAATACACTGTATGAAATGTGGTTCATGTGGTAAAGTATTACATGATGCCAAGAACATATGGCAGCCAGGAATCACAGAGACTGAAGGGTCTATTGTCCCCAAATACCCTCTACATGCTTCCTTCTCATAACTGAATCTCCTCTTATGAAACCCACCTCCTAAAGGTTATGCTATCTCCTGGTATCACCTCAAGCTAGAGACTGAGCCTTTGTCGAACATTCTAGATCCAAAATATAGCATAAGAAATCCTGGGAAATCTGAAATGTGTTGTCATCCAGGATACCTCGTCTATGTTTGACATATGGAGTCGGTGTATTATTGTGTAACTGAGCATTTTATCTGAGGGATCGGATGTAAACTTTGGTTGCTCAGTGTGAGAATCTAATCACACTATTGAGTCTGTGTGTTAGAGAAATGGGCAATTGCTGCCTCACAAAATGGTGTACTAGCTTCAGATGGAAAAAAATCAACTCTAATTCCTAAAAAAGAAAAAGTACAACTTTGCCTTTAAAAAGAAAACACTGTATAAAAATCTATTTTCAAAAAATAAAAATAAAAACTAGGAAACAGGAAAAGAATTCAGATTTCATCTGATACTAAGCCAAGATTTAAAAAACCCAACAGAGATGTCTCCTGGTTTCTCTAAGTTACAGATGGTCCTGAATTATTTCAACTTAATTTTTGTACTTTATTATAGATAAAAAGTAATACACATTCAGTAGAAACATAGCTACTGTTTTTTTTCAGGGCTAAAAAATGTGGTATAATCCTCTCTCTCAATGCTAAGTAGCTTCATCAATCTACATTTTACAGTGAACACTGTAGCTGAAACTAGATATTTCAGTTTACTGTGAGTTCATTTAGATTTTATCCTCTTCATATGTCAAGTAGTATCTGTACATTAGAAAAGGCATGGACTATAAAATCAGGTAATCAATTCTCTCTAGAGAGAGTGTGAGATATTCATTCCCCATCATATATAGAGACTGCTAAAACTTCTACTTGGTAGATAATCTTGTTCTTAACTGTTTCATTGAAAAAAGAGAAGAAAATTTGGAACTGAGAAATATTTAAAGCAGACTTTCATTTTCAAAGGCAAAGGATACTGCACCAAATTGGAAAGTTGAAACAACAGGTGTGATTATTACATACAATGTCAGAACCATGGGAAAACAAGGAAAAGGATCTCTAACAGAAGTTACTCAGAGACAAGTTACTTATGATTTTTATGTCTTAGATGGTCTGATCTGCAGTTAGATGTTGCCAGGCCATGGTCTTCATGGTAATCAGACTTTTGTTTGTATTTCAATTCTACCAAGTAATATGGATGTCTCTGGGTAAAAAGGAGATAATAATCTCCACCCTCAAGAAACTTTTGGAAGAATTAAGATAATGTCTACAAATCCTTTAACTAACATAATGGTCAACTCACAATAAGCTGCCAATAGATGGTATTCAAAGATACTATTGTTTTCTACATCATTATCATAAGCTGAAGGCGAGAATGAGATGGAAATGAGAACTAGAAATCCCTGTCTACCTCTAGCAACCTACATACCCACCTCTCTCTTCCTCAAATAAATGAAGATTTCCTTGATATATATAGAGTTGAGTGCTGGATTACAGTCTTCCTTTTCAATACTTTCCACTGTGTCACTGTCTTCCAGTACGATTACCTGTTTAGAACAAAAAATAAAAATTTTGAGTACATGTTCCATGGTTTTTGGCAGGAGACTAGTTTAGAAAGGGACAGAGGGAACTTTCTAGGGGTAGTGGAAATGTTTATTACATGTTAATGTACACACACACACACACACACACACACACACACACACACACACATATATATATATATACATATATTCTTGGTCTTAATAAGCACAAATACTTTTTGCTACTAAGCTTCATCACTATAAAATCAGAAATTAAAAATTTTCTGCAGTATCAATTTGATATAAGAAGAAAATTTCAAAGTGCCTAATAAATTTTTCGCATTTCATGAGTAACCTTAGGGTATGAAAGAGGAGAAAGAGGAGATTATGCATTACCCCTCATTAAATAAAATTAGAAGATAGCCAAAGAAATGCCATCTCTCACTGAGTGGAAGCTCCTTCCACAACACAGTAGACACTGCTTAATTGCTTAAGCAGCACATAAAAAGAACACTTTTGAGGTACTGGGATGATGGCTCAGCGGCTGAGAGCACCCACTGCTCTTGTAAAGAACTCAAGTTTAGTTCCCAGAACCCATTCTGGGCAGCTCAAAACTGACTATAACTCCAGCTCCAGAGGTTTACAATGCCTCTGACTTATACAGGCACCTGAACGCAAATGCATGACAGACAGACACACACACACACACACACACACACACACTTTATTAAGACTACTTCTTAAATAATCTCCTTGGGAGTTAGTATTGCAAACTTACCCTGGCTTCAGTATTCAAAACCATATTAAAAAAAACTATCTTTGGTAAAAAGATAGCTTGTCTTAAATTAGATAAAGCAACTTACCTAAATTAGATAAAATACCTTACCTAATTTAAGAAAAAGGAGAAATAAATACCTCAGTCTGTCTTTCACCCACAGCTGACTTCAGGTCATTGAAAACATAATGATATAAGCTGGAACTCATGACGGGACTGAGCGTCTCCTCAACGGGTACAAGAGCACTGTAATCGCCTGCTCGGGATTCTAAAGCATTGATGGGCATATGAGTGTTATTCGCTTCTGGAAATGCAAAGAATGATTTGAAAAACTCCTCTTCATCAATAATACTAGTGTCTTCCATAGTTAGTAGGTCTGTAAAGAACAATTGGTCTGCAGCAGTGAGTCCCTCGTACAATGCCAGTGTCTCAGTGGACTCCTCCACATTTAATGTCTTTCTGGTTACATCATCCTTCTCAGTGTCGGGTTTACGATCAAAAGTCAAAAACTCCTTCGGACTTGCCCTCTCAATGCTGGGATTCTCTTTCAAGGGCAATGGTTTCTTCAGGGTAGCCTCTGTTGTAGTGCTAGGGTTCTCCTGCAAGGCCCAGGGCTCCTCCAGAGTAGATTCTCCCCCAATTTTAGGTTTCTCCAACAATTCCAACACTTCGTTCAAGAGAACCTCGACGTTACTGGGTGGTTTCTTCTGAAAGGCCAAGGCTACCTTCTCCACATCAGGCCTCTTCACTATCACCAGCAGCTCCTTCAGGACAGTCACCAGCTCAGCTCGGGGCTGCTCCTGTGAAGCAATTGTCTCCTCCTTGAAGTTTGCTGTCTCCTGCAAGGGCCAGCATTGCTTGTAGTGAGCTTGTGTGTCAGTGGTGTACTTATTGGGGACAACCTCCTCAGTAGAATTATCTTGTGTGATCAATGGCTTCATAAGGACAGCCATCTTCTCCATACTGTGATCCTCCTGCATGTTTAAAGGTTTCACAGTGGACTCCACCTTAGGACTGGGAAAGCATTGAAAGTTCAGTGAATGATAACCAAGACACTCATCAACATCACTGCTGTTTTCTTCCAATATCTTATTTAGGACAAATTCCTGCTCTAGAGCAACAGTCCTCTCTTGGCTCGATTCTGCAGAGGAAGGATATCTGTCCTTACAAAAGAGCTTTCTTAAAAATATCTCTTCTTCAGAAACACTGTCCTGTGAGTCAAAAAGTTTTCTGTGGGAGCCCATTTTTCCATCAGTCTGGGATTTAAAGGTATCTTCACCAGCAGAACTATAAGGAGAAAATAGCTCTGGAGAGAAGAACATCTTGTCATCATTTAAAGACACTGATTCCTTACTATATGCCCCTTCTTGACTGGTGGTCTTCTGTGAGTTCAATGACATTGGGAGGGGTAGTTTCTGCAGAATAGAGCACTTTTTATTCAGTGAAGATGGATTCTGTTGGAACCCAGTTACGGTTTCATTCCTAAGTGATCCAGGCTTTGGAGAGAACAATTTCTTATTTTCATCAGTTTTTTCCAGCCACTCTGCCTGTGCTGGCCAGAGGGGGGTTATGTGAGTAGCACACTTTTTTTTCGGTATAGCTGTATTTTCTTTCTTAAATGGCAGTGGCTCCTTAGCCAGTGACTCTGCTCCTGAAGTGGCTGTCTGTAATATTGCTGGATCTATTAAATGGAACATTGTCCCTTGAGAAAAAGTCTGCTGCATCTCTACAGCTAAAGGCTTGTAGGTGAAGGCTGGCTCCTCCATGATGCATCGTTTCTTAAAAGCTGAAGCTGACTGACAATGTGACTCCTCCTCCATGTGATGCTTTCCTGGGGCACAGAGCTTCTTTGGCTTGGACAATACCCCAGGACTAGTGTGCCTCTTTTGTAATGCAGACAGCCTCTGGAAAGGGGGCTCTTTCTCAGTGGTAGACTTCATGAAGGACAATGGCTCATTTGTAACTGGCTCTTGTGCTGCAGGGTTATTGAAGAAATGTCTTCTTTTAGGGAGATGCTGTTTCTTCTTTAAAGATGAGTGCTTCTTCATGCGAGGGGCCTCTTCCATGCTACGCTGCTTCTTCAAAACTGGAGCTCCATGAAAATACAACACCTTTTCCTTAGTGGTAGGCTTTTGCAGAGCCAAGGACTTCTCCACAGTGGACATCTCCACGTGAGCAATATGCTTGTCTGGCAATGCAGTTGGCCCCTGGAAATGGGAATGTTTCTTAGTGGTAGACTTCTTAAAGGACGATGGCTCATGTTCATGGGTAACTGGCTGAATTCCTAGTGACCTAAAATTAATGATGCTCCCCTGAGTGTCACGATTATTTTTAGAAATTAGCTTTTGTGTATGGGTTGTTTCATTGGTACTATGTTTCCCTTTAAAAGTAACTGACTCTGTCAAAATGTCATCTTTATTATTTGTATTCTCTTGTAACACCAATGGCTTCTTCAAGATGCTTGCCTCCCCTTGAGCATTATATGTCTCTTTCAGTAAAGATGGTTCCTGTATCAAAGATTTCATCTCTTTGGCAGGATGCTTTTTCTTGAAAGACAGCTTTCTAATTACTGATTTCTCTCTAGTGGTTACCACCTTTAATTCTGATGATTTCTTTCTGAATGAACTCTTCCCTCGAATAGTAGACTTCTCTTCTTGAATAGCAGGTTTATTCTTTAAAGATAATGGACTTGAGGTGAAAGTCGCCTTCGAGGTGAGAGTTGCCTTCCTGGTGGCAGGCTTCTTTGAATCAATCATCTGTAAATGGAAATAATTAGTAGAATTTTAGTCTTTCACAAATAATAGCTTTTGGTGAAGCCATATCTCTGAAAATATCTCTGAAAAAAAATCTGATTCCCTAAGCATAATACCTCCTTAATGGTGTCTGCTTCTTTAGGCTCATCCATCATTTCTGAAGTCATCAGCTCTGTATCAAGCCCATCGTAAACTTCTGTCTCCTCCAGCAAGGTTACTGGCTGCTCCTTTAGAAATTTATCACGATGATATGCACGCTTCTTCAATGTCTTCTTCATAAGGCTTGTTTCTTCAGTAGCAGGTTTCTCATTTAAAACTGATGTCTTTTGAAAGACAGATGGTTTCTCAGTAGTTAGTGCTTTAGACTTGGTGGGTATATCCTGAATAAACTGTTTCTCTATGTTTGACACTGAGGTAACAAGTGCCAACTTAGAACTGTAAATGAAACAAAGTGTGGGTAAGAACAATGTAACTCCTAGTCCCCACCCACTATTTCATTCTGTTGTTATATTAACTAAAAGAAAGGGAAAGAGTGTCAACACCAAGATAGAAAAAAAAAGATGTAACCCATACCAAACCAAGTTAGTAGCACACCATATAGCTTCTATGCCTACATCCTTACACTTTTCTACTTTTCCCAGGAGATCCATGTCATACTTTCTCAAATATGGCTTACTACCATTATTTATATACAAAATTCCTATTATGATACTTACTTGGATGAGTTACCTGTATATGTATTGGCCACTCTCACTAGAAATAGTTATTTATCTTTGCCTAACCACACCATGCCTCTAATAAAATGCAGGTTGAAATTATTATTGTTTGAAGGGTAATGAGAGATGAAGGCTAGTAATTAACACTGATGGTACCTTCTATATGTCAAATCTAAAGCTGTGTTTTAAATAGGATTTCATGATTAATGAGAGTGATTAATTTAGCATAATCAAATCATTTGAAGAATACAAGTCAAAATAAGAACTAAATGGAAGTAAAACCACACCATCCTGAACATCAGGTATAAATGCCTCTAAAGAATCCATATCATATGATTCAATTCACATGAAATATATGGGATTCTAGGGTTGTAGGGCAGTGGTTCTCAACCTGTGAGCCAATCCCTTTGGGTGCCGAACAAGCCTTTCTCCTAAGAACATCTGGAAGTACAGATATTTACATTATGACTCACAACAGTAGCAAAATTTCAGTTATGAGGTAGCAACAAAAATGATTTTATGGTTGGGGATCCCCACAGCATGAAGAACTGTATTAAAGGAGGGTCACAGCATTAGGAAAGTTAAGAAGCACTGGTGTAAGGAGAGTTGGAAAGTAAACTCCTAGATACAATTTGCTTTTTAAAATTACACAGCTCTAGAATTAATTTTTAAATTACTGTATTATAAAGGTTACAATTGGGCTGGAGAGATGGCTCAGAGGTTAAGAGCCCTGGCTGCACTTCCAGAGGTCCTGAGTTCAATCCCCAACAACCACATGGTAGTTCACAACCATCTGTAATAAGATCTGGTGCCCTCTTCTGCCCTGCAGGCATACATGCAGACAGAGTACTGTATACATAATTAATAAAATCTTAAAAAATAAAAGATAACAATTAATTAAAAGGAAATGCTTTGTAAGATTCTGCTTGACATAACAGGCTTTCCTGATGAGGGCATTTAGAAGTCATCTACAGGTCTTCAGATAATCTAAGTACAATAAGAACATGCATTTTCAGGAGCTAGCCTGCCAAGATTCTAATTCTGTGTCCTCATTTAGGATCCAGGTAATCTTGTGCAAATTAATTCAGTGCTTCAGGTTTCCTACCTATAAAATGAGGATAAAAGTTATATCTCTTTAATAAGTTTATTTAGAAAAGATGACAAAATATGCTTAATGACACTTAAAGGAATGTTAAGAGCAGTTCAATGGAATAATTTAACAGTTCATTAGAACTATATAATTTAGATAAAATGAACAAATTTGTAGAAAGTAACACACTACCAAAGCTCATTAAAGACGAAAAAATTAATTAGATTTGTATCACATAAAGGAATTGAATTAGCAACTGAAAAAACTAAACACAAAGAAGTGTTCAGGCTCAGATGGCTTAACTGGTGAATTCTACCAAAATCTTAGAGAGATTAAAACCAGTTCCTCATCGACTTTCTTAAGAAATAAAAAAGTGGAAACAGAAGCTGGGTGGTGGTAGTGCATGACTTTAATCCCAGTATTTGGGAGGCAGGGGCAGGTGGATCTCTGAGAGTTCGAGACCAGCCTGGCCGACAAGAGCTAGCTCTAGGAAGGCTCCAACACTACATAGAGAAACCCTGTCTCGAAAAAACCAACAATAACAAAAAAGAAAGGTGGAAACAGTTTCCAACTCACACTTTAAGGCCAGTGGTATTATGATACCAAAAAAAACAATAGTATCATAGGATAAGAAAATTATAAACCATTACCTCTTATGGATATAGATGTAAAAACGCCCAAGAAAATACTAGAATAACAAATCCAGAAATGCGTTTTCAAACGATGATCCCCATAATCAAGTACATTCCCTAGTAGTGCAAAATTATTTTAACATCCAAAATTCAAATATTATACCATACTAACAGAAAAAAAATGTCATTATTATCAATGGATCCATAAAACTCATTTCACAAAATTCAACACTTTTTCACAATAAAAACCATTTAGCAAACTGTAAAAAAAATGATATTCTTGGGCTGGAAAGATGGCTCAGCAGGCTCATAAAGATGCTTGCTGCTCAGCATTCAATCCATGTAATGAACAGATACGCACATACATACATACATACATACATACTCAAGCAAATATAAACAAAATTAAAGGAAAGGCAAACACTAACTGGATTCAATAGGTTGTGTGCGTGCGTGCATGCATGCGTGTGTGTGTGTGTATGTGTGTGTGTGTGTGTTTATCTAGACAAACAGAGGGAGAGACAGACTTACTACCGTGCAGATAGACAGATGGATAGACAATAGACAGACTGAGAAAAGACAAAGAATGGACCAATGGACAGACAGACAACAGATGGACAGAAATCATCAATTCTAGTGGAGATGGTTGGGAGGATGGAATGCATGAGGAATTTGACAGAGGAGAAGGGCTAGAAAAGATACAGATATGGTACACACATACATGAAATTTTCAAAAGTACATTTAAAGAGGAAATGAGATTCTTGAACCTGATAAAAAGACATCTATAAAAACTCTAAAGTTAACATCATATTTAATAGTGACAGAATAATGCTTTCCCTAAACATCAGGAAAAAAGTCAAGGATGACCAATTAATGGCACTTCTACATTTTACAACATTCTAGCTAAGGCAATTAGATAATAAAATTAAATAAAGGCATCTCTATTAGAAAGAAATAATCAAAATTATATTATCATATAAGATCTTATATAGAAAAATCCCAAGGAATTCATACAAAAGCAATTATAATAGATAAGTTAAGCAAGATTTCAGGATACATGATCAATACACAAAAATCAGAGGGATAATTATTCCAGACATAAAGATATACTGTAGAGCTATAATACTATAATTTGTACAGTACTGGCACAAAAATAGACATGTAGACCAGTGGAACAAAACCGAAAACCCAAACATGAGTACATGTTACTAGAGCCATCTGATATTAGACAAAGAGACCAAAAATATATATTGAAGAAAAGACAATATCTTCAACAAATGGTACCCATACACAGAAAAATAAAATTATATATATATATAATTTTTATCACTATGCAACAATTAGACCCAAGAACACAGTACACCAAAGGCTTCAATTTGAAATCTTAAACTGCTAGAAGAAACATAGACTGTACTTACAAGATATAGAGGTAGAAAAGGACTTTCTAAATAGAAGTACATTTGCTTAGGAATTAAAACCAACAACTGACAAGTGAGACTTCATAAAAAGTAAGGCTTTTGCACAGCTAAGGAAACAGTAAATCAAGAAAAGATAAGGCTACAGAATGGGAAAAACTCTCTGCCAGCTACACATTTGACAGAGGATTAGTATCCAGAATATATAAACAACACAAAAAAGAGTCAAGAAAACTGGGTTATGGATCCAAACAAAGGGTTCCCAACTGAAGAAATAAAATTAGCTAAGAAATATCTCCAAAGTGTTCATCTGTAGCAATTAGGGGAATGCAAACTAAACAACCTGAAGATTTCATATCACCCTAGTTGGAAAGGCTAAGATAAATAATATCATTTGACCATAGATGCTAGCTACGATGTGAAGAAAGCAGAACCCTCGTTCATTATTGGTAAGAATGCAAACTAGAGAAGCCAATCAAGAAATCAGTATGGAGAATCTTTCTAAAGCTAAAAATAAGTGAACCATATGACCCAGCTATACCACTCCTTTGCCCAAAGAACATAGCATACTACTGCACAGATCTTTCTCAGTTATGTTTGTAGTTCCTCTATTCACAATATGTTGGAAATACAAACAACCCAAATGTCTTTCAACAGATGAATGAATAAGGAAAATATGATACATGTACATGATGATACACAAAAATTTGCAGGTAAATGGACTAAACTGGAAAATACTATGCTGATTGAAGTAACTCAGACCCATAAAGAAAAATGATGCATGTTTCTATTGTCTGTGTTTCATTACTCCAAATCATCAGGCATTAATATAGAACTGGCAATAACCAAATAAACCAGAAAAATGAAAAAAGATCATTGGTGGTGAGGCTAGAGAGAGGACTAGCAGGATATAGGTGATATGAAGGAGAAAAGGGGAAAAGGGGAAAAGGAAGGGGTCTTAAGTTTGGGAGTGGGGAAGGAGATCAATATAGAAGGAAAAGAGGGAGGAGAGACAAATGTCATTAAAGATATTTACAGAGGTCTTGAGGAGTCATTTCATTTTATATTTACCTAAAATTTATATTTATCTAAGGTTATGCCACTTGGGCTGATAATGCTCCCCCCTCTCTACAAGAGTCATAGACTAACAAAATAAAAACACACAGAACCAGGCACAAGAAACCTCCCTTTAAGGTGTTGGTCAGGGTAGTCCCAGAGACTCCCTAAAACAATATAGGCTACTGCTGTTACCCTTGGGTACCTCCCAGAGGTTGAAGGTAAGTCCCTATTGCTGAAGACACCACATATCTTGGGCACAAGATATGAAGGATTCGAGCTGGATCTGATCTGAAAGCTTCCTCCCCAAAGGCTACCTTTCATAGTACTAGAAGGTGTCATGACAGCTTCCAAAGGAGGGAAGTAACCAACAGTCTTATTCAGTTATAACACCTGTAAACCAAAACAATGACCAACATGACAAGATAGCCCTAAAAGTACAACAGTGACACTCCTATCTTGGTAGTAACCAACAGTTATCTAATTAGACTTAAGGCCACTTCAACAGGAAGAAAATAATATCTACTACTGGAAACCTAGCCAGCATCCCAGAACTAGTGAGGTTATTCATCTTAGAGAAGAACCTACTACTGCCGCTTTGCTAGACCAGCAAAATTCCTAACTGCATTCTAAACCCTATTCTTGTAACCACAATAAGTGCAACTATCACTTTCATCTAAGAAGCTTCCCTTTGCAGCAGGTGGAGAGCATTAGGGAAAACCATAAATGGTCAAGATGCAGATATATCACGGTTGATATATCTATAACATAAGTCCTGCATATAAGGTTCAAAGAATATTGTGGGAGGAGGGATGGAAAGATTGTAAGAGACAGAGGACCAGGAAATCTGCTGTGAGATGTGTCTCCTAGAAATGACAGGAAAGCTTTATCCATGAAATCTCAACAATGTGACTGCCTCAACAGAAGCTGAACAATGACAACACCAACAGACATGTCAGTGTGGAGGCAAAAAAAATCTCACAAGCTCCACTCTTACACAAAGAACAGCAGGCAATTAATAACTGCTGAGAGAGATAGAATTAGTCTTACCCAGTGATAAGTCCCCTAATTGGTTATCCTATACCAAGTGATCAGCTTTCAAATCCTATAAGCAACACTAAATGGACATGGCATGTATATAACAACACTAATCAAAGAAAAACAGGATATGAATTTGAGAAAGTATGGGAGCCTGGAAAGGGCTGGAGGGGAAAGAGAAGGAGGAAAATTATATTTTACTTAAAATAAAAAATTTTAGCTGGGCAGTGGTGGCATGTGCCTTTAATCCCAGCACTTGAGAGGCAGAGGCAGGAGGATCTTTGTGAGTTCAAGGCCAGCCTGCTCTACAAAGCTACACAGAGAAAGTTTGCCTCAAAAAATTTAAAAGACATAGAATGACATGTGATTATAGTGAAGTCCCAACAAATGGTAGGTATTACTCATTATAGTGTCATTATTAGGTCCATTCCACTAAACCCTGAATAAAAAGAAGAATGTTTGTTTCTTGCTAATGTCAAAATAATAAAAGATATTCAAGAAAAACTGACATGGTGAATTAGGGCCAAATATGTTTGCACAACCCAGGAATTCCATTTAAGCCACAAACTAAATAATAAATATGAATCTTCCAGTCGCATTTCTCTCTATTAGCTGCATGCCCTGTGGGTCATGCTGGTTAATTTCTGAAATTCCCATCTTTTTACCTTATTCATTAGAAGCTATGCTTAGCTTTGTTACATTCATCTTTCTAATTTATTTAAGTACATATTGGTCAGTACCTAAAGAAGTAATTAGAGCTGAAATTTGGTGGTGTACGCCTTTAATCCCAGCACTTGGGAGTTAGAGGCAGGTGGGTTTCTGTGAGTTTGAGGCCAGCCTGGTCTATAGAACAAGTTCCAGGACAGATTCCAAAGCAATACAGAAAAACTCTGTCTTAAAAATAAACCAAACAAATAAAAAGAATTAGAATAAAGAGAAACCCTTAAAGAAGAGGGGAGGTAAGAAAGGGTAATGAAATACACATGACATGAAAGCAGAAGGGGAGACCATCTTGGCTAGGGAAAACAGGGAACCAGCCAAGACACATGTGGTCCAAAGGAGGGTAATTGGATAAGGCTGATGAAGCAGAACAGAATATAGCCACATAGGCATGAAAAAACAATAGTAAATCTCATTATGCTGTATGTTTACTTAAAAGAGAAAATTTAAAAACAGTGAAATGTAATCTGTGAATGCCCAACCACATCTGAAGATTTAGGAGAGAGTAAGAACAAATAATTATGATAGTAAGGAGTCAATATTTTTCTGTACAGTAACAGACAATAAATATATAACCAGGTATAGTGGCCTACACTTGCAATCTTAACATATGGGAGGCTAAGGCAGGAGTATCAAGAGTTCAAGGTCATTGTGGGCAACATAGTAAAACCCAGGTCTCAAAGAAAAGTTGATAATCAACTCTATGCTAGCAGTGTAAACTCAACAACAGACATTGTGTAAAGTCAAAAGTGTAGCTGTATATGTTTAATAAATTTCATTGCTAGCCAAAATAAGGAGGATTAAGAAAAGAATGTAGAAAGTGTAGAAAGGTCTTACAACAGCTTTTAAGAAAACGGTTTCCTAAGGGTAAATTCTTTTTTCTAATCTTCTTGTAGAAGAACCTCTAATAACTGAAAGGCACATGTTTGGGATGCAAGGAGATAATTTCTGTCAAGTAGCAAAAGGGGTATATCCCAAAGTTTCTAATTAGATAAGCAAACTTGTGTGCTATTAGCTAGCTGCTGAGATTTCATGAAAAGTTAGGTTGACTCCATGCTCCCCCACATAGACTATCTTGAACAGGAGCTAAATCAAATATGATATCTTGTCCAATTCTGCAATAATGACAGCATTTTCAATTTCTGCACTAACAACACAACCCATGGAAAAAGAAAGACAGAAGAGGCCTATAACTCCATCAACCACAGATGGTCTTCTATCAGCACCCAGAAGTAATGTGGTAGTTACCACTGTGCCTCACTAAAATACTCTTAATGCAGACACAATGATGTCACAGTCTCTCTATCATATGAGCCAATGTCAGTTGAGTCTTCTCTTACGTTTTTATCTGAGTAACTTCGCCAACTTCCTTGCTTGTCCTCTTGGAAGCATGGCTCCTAAGCTCTGTATTGTCTTCCTGCTTTAACTGGACAGTTTGACTTTCATAAGCCTAGAAAAAAGGACAGCAAATTAAAAGAATCACATATTACCCAATAAGTGGTTTCTATAAGAAAGTCATGACAGGTTTTTCTATGCTAGACAGATAATTTAGATGTTCCCAGGAGTCACAATCTAAAAATTTCATAACAGATACGGCACTGGGCCAACCAAACACAGTGGGAGCTACACTAAGCAATCAGTACAATAATACTGGTACATATAAAAAACAGCACCCATAAGTGTTCCCAAGAGATGTAGGATCCAATTGTGATTTCTATGCCAGGCATACTGGCTCATGAATAACTGGCAAGATGGTTAATTACGTTTTTACTTAAAATGCACAGAAGATACAGGAAACATGACTAATTTTTCTGTCTAGTTTTGCCTAGAACAACTAGCTACTCAGGGCAAACCTCTAACACAAATCTACTCATGATACCACCACCGTATTTTGTCAAGTGGTATTTATTTAATATTTGTCTCTCAAGAGTATATAGTACACTAATCCTGGCTACTCTATTAAACAGTAGGAGAAATCATGAATCTGAATGATGTCAGTAAAAAGTCAAATTAAAAGTTAAACCTTTAAAATGAACCTAATTTTATTTCAACTATTATTACAATCACATTAAATAAAAACGATACAAGAAACAATTAATCTAAATAATTTACATGTGCATTACTTGACTATATATCCTCAGTCAGGATGGGTTTCCATGGAGTGGATATAATGAATAAATATTAAACACTGTTTATTAGCTTTGTTTTGTGACATAAATATGGAAGAGTTGCTTTGAAATTGCTGCATTACAGTGCTGAGTAAATATCTTGATGGTCTGACCTCATGACTGGACTTAGTGCCCTGGCATGTGATTCATTTGGGAATTTTCTTGCTTTCTGCTATATGAAAACATAGTCTCCAATCAAATACCAAATCCACTGGCATCTTCACTTTGGATTTCTTAACTTCTAAAACTGTAAGTGATGTATTTCTAATGTTGGGGCTGGAGAGAGATGGATTAGTGAGTAAAAACATGTGCTGTTCTTGCAGAACACTCGGGTTAGATTCTCAGCACCTACATGACAGCCCATAACTGTTTGTAACTCCAGTTCCATGGTATGCGAAAACACCTTCTGGCCTCTGCATGCACCACATAAGCACATAAAAATAATAAAATGTAAATTACTTTGTGTGTATAAAGTTATTCTTAGTTTCTTATATAAGTTCAAATACTCAAAAATAACTTGTCCTTCTGTGGAATATTAGATGAAGATGTGTTAGATTTGTTTATGCTGTTGGAACATTTGTTTAATGATGCAAAGATGTGTTGCATTCTTTTATGCTGCATTTGTTTAGCTCTGTGAAGCTGTGTTACTTTGCCTGTCTAAAACACCTGATTGGTCTACTACAGAGCTGAATGGCCAACAGCTAAGCAAGAGAGGTCACCAGAAGAAGAGAATAAATAGGAGACAGAAGATAAAGGGGAGGAGTGAGAAAAGGAGAAAGGACACCAGGGGCTAACCACCCAGCAACACAGTCATCCACAGAGTAAAAAAAGGAAAGAAAAGTATATAGGATAGAGAAAGGCAAAAACCCAGAGGAAAAAGGTAGATGGGATCATTTAAGTTAAGAAAATCTGGCTATAAATAAGCCAAACTAAGGCCAGGTATTCATAAGTAAAAATAAGTCTCTGTGTATTTATTTGGGAGCTGGGTGGTGGGTTCCCAAAGAGCAAAGAGTGAAAAAAATCCCATTCCACACATTCCCCTTAGAGATTCTGCATGAGAAGGACCAAGGGAAGTTACACTAAGAAATACTTTTTTTTCTAATTAGTGTATTTTTTGTAAATTGTGTATCTACCTTGTTTCAGCCAAATTCCTAGAACCATTATTTAACAGGATAGGAAACGAACATACACATTGTGTGTGTGTGTGTGTAAAACTGAAATATGAAAAATTAATATGTATTTTATAATCTTCACAAAAAGTTTGTATTAACAGGGATTGAAAATAGAGAACTTTGTTCATACAATCATTCTTCATGGGGTCAAACACTGTCTAACAGAAGTATTTTGACAGTCACAAAAATACTTTACAATAGAGGGCATGAACAGTTCATCAAGCTTTTCTCTAGACTAAGTGAAATAGACTTAAAAACCAACACTGATTCTCATCTGTCAAATAGAGATAACTGTAGTATCTATTATATGGGGTTATTACAAGAGTAAGTGGCCTGATAAAAGGAAAACAAATAAAGTAATACTCAAGACATCATAAGCACTCATTAGGTATCAATTATGATTTTCTAAGAAAAATTACTACCTTTGTCCTGCTATTTCTACTATTTCTGATTTTTTTCATAACACCTTAACATTATTTGAATTCAGGTGACTGTTTTTGGCATAACTAGACAGTGAACTCAGGAATTCTCGTTGTTAGGTTCAAAGCCTGCCTTTAAAATGGCAGTTCCACTGATAAGGTCCATAAGGTCAGCCTGGGCTCAGCTCAGGCTGAAATCTCCTGGGTATGAATCATTTGCCTCTGCTGGCTTCTGCTACCCACTATTTTCAACTCCAAAATGTAGTCAGTCACTTTAGTTGTTTTTCTCCTCTACCATCTCAAACCAGTTTTCCTTCCTCACCTACTCAGCATCAGCATTGTCCCAGAGCTCTCTGCTTTGACTCTCTTGTTTACTCCACAAGAGTCTTACTGGTATGCCACAGAAGATTTTGCTATTAGGTAACAAAAACCTAAACTAAGCAGTCCTCAGAAATCCTGTAAAACAGGTTTCTGTTTGTCAGGAAAAACCATTACTTCCCTTATCCTCCCCCAATGTTCAACTATCTAGCGCAAAGGTTTCTGAATAACACAAGCAGTCGACAACAGATCAAATTCCCATGTTAAATCCCAGGCTTTTCTGGCCTGCACCTCTCCTTCCACCACTACCTGTCCCCATAGAAACTGACAAGGTTTTCCCTGTCACCTGTTGTTTTCTGCCCTCAAGAAACAGCCTGAAGTGCAGTTCCCCCAAGTAAACTGCCTTTCTACTCCTGAAGTGGTCTAGTTCAATAGTTTCACTGTGCCTTACATATGGTGCCAGAAACTGGTGTCAGAATCTGGAAGGGACACTTGGGCCCTGAAAGCCTGTTTCCTCTTATACCCAAACCAAACTCTCAACTTGAACCTCCTGGGTACAGGTCAATGGCCTCTGCTGGCTCCTGCCACCCACCACATATTTGACTCCAAAATTGAGAGTCAGTCTTTTCAACTGTTTTTCTCCTCTACCTGATCAATCTACTTATCTCTCCTCACCTACTCAGTATTCTCTTGTAACTTCCTGGTATCTTCCTCTCACTCACTCACGCACTCACTCACTCACTCACTCACCAAGCATTACTGGTATGCCACACAGCAACCCTGCACCCTTTTGGGTGCCCCATCACATGAATGAGGGATGCCTGTCCACATGATCATGGGCATGTCTCTGACAAGTGTCAGTTCCCTGAGGATGCCTTTGGATTAAGACTGTCCTATGGCACTTAACCCTTACCATGTCACCCCCCTACGCCTCTACTCCTATGATGTTGGTGTTCTCCTTTGGAAGGACCTCCTATTTTCAGACCCTTTCCTAACTCTCCTACCTCTTCTTTGCCCTGCTTTTCCTGGCACCCTTTCTTCAAGGTTTCTCCCTTCCTCCCTCTAACCACCCATGGGATCTTCCCATCCAGAATTAGACTCATCAACTCCTCTTGCCTGCCTTTTCAAATTTATTTCCCTCTTCGAACTTTTTTTTACTGCAAATGCAGTTTGGCCTCAATACAAGCTTGATAATCAGCCTCAATGGCAAGAAAATGGCACATTGGATTTAAAAATTCTCACAGATTGTGACAGTTTCGACCATGGAACAAGCAAATAGTCTGAAATATCTTCTTTTCTTCCCCCTCTCCTCTCTCCTTCTGATCACTGGGTTTAGCCTTACAGAGATTCAAATGCCTTTGGGGTATGGATAATATTAAAATATTTTCACATCCTGTTTTACTCTACTGAAAAGTTGGCTCTGGGAATGGGATTTGGTCTGCACATTTTAGACCAAGCATGTTTGTCTCCAAGGCCACTGTCCTGGGTCAGGGTGCCCTCTGACTCTGGGACAGGGAAAAGGAGGACAACAGGACAGCCCAGGAAAAAGACACTAAACTATATACAACAGAGGTTACTATTGGTTATCTCATGGTATTTAATTTTTTAATAAAGAGAAATATATATGTAAAATAATATGGCTAAATGTAATCACATATTGTTTAGCTCTCTTAATACCACTCTCCTTTTCTTGGTTTTGTTTAAAATGTTCTGCCATTCAAATTCATAGAAATCTTTGAACTTTCTGTAGAAATGTAAGCTTTCTTTATCTTCAGATCTGTAAGATCATCGGAGTGTGGTTTCAAAAGTCTGTAAAACCCCAAGCAGAGCCACAGGTAGCTTAAAACTTGTAACAAAAAAGGTTGATAGTTATAAATCTATGTACAAGTAATCTTAATTTGCTATACTATACCACAGATGTTGCTTGGACTCAACTCTTATTTAGAAAAACAGATTTTTTTTTATTAGACTAGGGAGGCCTCCAAGATGATTTGTTTATTTTCCTTAGATATTTCACATAAGGATGATTTTTTTTGTTTGGTTGTTTTTTTTTTTGAGACAGGGTTTCTTTGTATAGTCCTGGCTGTCCTGGAACTCGCTCTGTAGACCTGGCTGACCTCAAACTCAAACAAATTCGTTTGCCTGCTTCTATCTTTTGAGTGCTAGGATTAAAGGTATGTGCCACCACCACACATACCTTTTTGTATGATGATTTTTGTCCTAAGAGTCGAAAACAACACATGAGGACAAAACTATGAACAAGGTTTATCAAAAATAGGATTTAGGAACAGCATGTTTGATGATTCAGGCTTATAAATTGCTAAGTTTATAATGGTCTGTTCAGTTTAAGAGAAACTGATTTAAAGACATACTTTTAATCACTTATATCTTTGCTAACTTTGTCAGGCTTTAGCTATTTGGAAAAAATATTCCATAAAAACTGAAATATTTTTTAATTACACTATAAAAAGTCAGGAAAATGAGGTTCCTAATCTCCCCCATGGACTGCATTTATGGTTTAAAGTGTATTTTCATACTAAAGAAATTTCAATTTATACATAAATTTTAAGGTTCAAATTTAACAAAGACAAAATTATGGAATCCTAATGTTATAAAAGTTACTAACTTATTGTAAACTGCTATTGATAATAAGACATACAAATTAATGATCAATCAACTTATAAAGGATCCAATTCTTTAATGTGCTCAAAACCATATTTGTAGTCATGCTAAATAAATTGTAATTCATTTACAAGTACAAGCTTGGAGGGAGAAACCTATGTTTATCTCCCATTTTATAGTCTTGTGTATATATTGTCAAAGTTAAGCTTGAAGCAAGTAACTGAAAACAAGTTTAAGTAAATGTAAAGTTTGTTCAATGTAGATGATGGTCCTCAAACCCCTCAGAGATGTTCTGAATATGGCACTTAAGTGTTTAATAAAAGGGAAGGGCAAGAAAGGCCCCCAAAAGCTTTCCATGATAGACAGAAATAACTGCTTCTGGCAGCAGCCCTGAGTTCACTTCAAAGAAAATGGCCTTCACCCAAGACCTGGCTCAAATGTGGCAACACCATTTCCTGCATGAAGAACTCACCTCACCCTCTACCAGGACCCTCCCCAAACTTTGGATAGGCAGGATACTGGAAGGTCAACTGTCCCTTTGTCTCATCAGAATAGATTAGTACCCCAAGTTCCTCCTCCACAGGAAAATCTCTCAGGTTTTCTGGACCTGGTGGCTAAAACTGAGACATTAGTCCCCCAATAAAACCATCAAAATTAACGTGGAGGAGACTAGGATAACTGTTCAGATAGTGGGAAATACTCATTTTTAATTGCTATCGAGGCCACTTGGTCCATACTTCCCATTTACTCCAGTAAGTTATCCTCCTCAGACCTCTGTGATGGGTGCTGATGGCTGGCCCCACCAGTCTATGGCTACAGGACCTCTCCTCCGTAGTTTCATAGACATGAGAGGTGGTTTAAGTGTCACTGTCACTGGGCTAATTATAGAATTTAAATCCTGGGATACAGAGGTGATGAGCGCTAGTCAATCTTACAGAAAAGAAAAAAAATGGTCTTGCCTCAAACTCTCACAGTGCTTGAATCGATAAAGCTACTCTGGACTACAATTATTCTATTATAACTCATTTCTAAAGCCTAGGGAGCCACCTGCAGATTTTAGGGAAATATAATTGCCCATAGTTTTGTTGTTATTCACAATTCCATATACTAGTCAGTGTTTAGTGTCTCCAGAGAACATAGAAATTGATATAAATAGTATGTTCCAGTAAAAATAGTCTGTATAGCTTGTGAAATTGTGTCACTCTGATTCCAAATAAATTCTGTTGTCACCATTCTGAGAAAGTCAAGGTCTGCTGATAAACAGGAAAGATCACTCAGGCAAAGAATATCAAAGACTTGTATAAAACTTCAGAAAAGAATAGGATTAGCATACTCACATTAGTGAGATCTTCAAAAGCTGATCTCTTTTTTGCTGTGTCTTGGAATGAAGGTGAAGATGTTGTATGGTTATCCTCTCCACTCTGTAAAAATAAGAGGCAAATGAGCATGGCCAAATGTAAATAAACCCTCTGGAACTTTAGGTCATATTCAGGGCTTGAATAAAGTCCACAGTATGGATAATAAATCTTAGGAACTACAATAAAAGTTTATTTTGGTACCTATAGATAGTTAAAGAGTCACTGAAGAATACAGTCATTGATGAAAGGTATGAGACTATAAAGAGACCAAATGATCTTCAGTTAAAATTTCAAAATATAAAACAGCTTGGTGAAGCTAATTTATTCTCTTTCTCTTCCCATAGTTATGGTTATACTATCCAAGTTTAACTATCAGCACTACTAAGTGGTTCTTTCAAAAGGGTTACCTCCAAGTTAGTTAATAACACAAGTGTCTCTTACACTAAATGAACTAAGTTAATACTTATTCACTCAGGATGATAGTGTGCTTACCCAGAATCAGCTCTCTATTAAATATTGATCTTGGAAGAAAGAGTCACTCAATTTTGGGGACAATTTTCTTATCAGTAAAATTGGTATGATAACCTACCTTACAGAGTCTTTATGGATTACAAAAGAGAAAATACTTTCAAAGTGTTTTTGTAAGTGTGCTAAAGATGGAACCCAGAGTTTTGTACATCCTAAGCAAACTCTCTACTCTAGAATACATTTTCCAGTCTGGATAAATTATAAATGGAAAGAAATGGTACTTTAAATCTATGTAGTCCTGAGTGCTTGTAGACACCACAGGAGAATAATTTATTTTAAGAAAATAGTTTGTTAATACCGATTATCTCTAATTATTATTTGCTGTGTGGGGCTTATGGAGGAGAAGAGATGTGATAAAGGACATAAGGAAGCTGGATACTTTGAGCAACAAGGATTTTTTCTAGGTATCATGTATCTGTACACACGTGCCTTATCCCACTCCCGAGTCACTAAAACTGTATGTGAAGGGACACTAGCTCGCCTGACCATGTGGCTCTGGCAGGCATTGCCCTTCTTCCCTCTACCTTGCTAAAAATGGTTAAATTACATTCCTAAAGCCAGACACCAAGGTCTGTTCCCTTATTTGGCCACTTCCTCCTGAGGCTGACTACCAAGGTGGAGAAATCAAAAGCCCCCTTTGGCTCATCTAATTCACATGAGCAATTAAAATCAAATACCTCTTCCTAACACAGGTTTTCCCCCGCTTCACTTTTATAAACCACCATTTGCCTAAGGACCATGTTGGTCTCCCCTCTATACAGAGGCAGTCCTTTGTCCCTCTGGGACAAATACCCTTCCCCCTTTCCCTTGTCCCCATCCCCTTCTCTGTCATCCCCTATCTCCTTTACCACCACATCCTAGCCCATTCTAACATAAACCTCCCCTCCTCCTCCCTCTTAAAAATTACACATGTTGCTGTTTTCTGCCAGGGTCAGAAAGCAGTCACTTTAACTTTTCTTCCCTGCTTAATAAGGGATCTCTCTGTGAAAACAGGTGTTTGAGTGTGGTTTGTGCCTGATCCAGGGTCCATGAGGAAGCCCCTGCTGTGTGTGGGTTCCCTTCAGTCTGGAGCTAGACGTTAGGAGAAATTATTCTTGTAGCATTTTTTTATCTTTTAATAGTTTCTATTTGCTGAATATCTATTAAATCTCAGATTTCATTCTTAAAATTATAAGAACAAACTCTGTCTTACCTATATAAGGAAGTTCTTACAATTATCAAGCAGAACACTGGGATGTGATCATTTGCTTTCTGCTATATACATTATCAACAGTATATGACACAGTAAGTGCTCAAAAACTTCGAGAATTGTATTCATGATATAACACACTATTCCAGCAGAAGACAGCACTTCTAGGAGCACTATGAATTACTTTGCTTTCTACTTCAGCTAAAGAATAAACTATTCATCTTTATCTCATTTATGATGAATAATTCTAGTACAAATAATTAGCAAATAACAAAACATTTTTCTTTCAAACTGACTGAAAACTAAACTGTCAGTTTACGTTGTCTTCTAATTCTTACTTAGCATTACTGTTAGAAATAATCTCCTCAATATAAAATTAAGAGGGAAAACTGAACTCAATAAAACTTATACTTGCAGCTGGGCACTGGTGGCGCACACCTTTAATCCCAGCACTCAGGAGGCAGAGGCATGCGGATCTCTGTGAGTTCGGGGCCAACCTGGTCTACAGAGTAAGTTCCAGGACAGCCTCCAAAACAACACAGAGAAACCCTGTCTTGAAAAAACAAAAACAAAAAAATTATACTTGCAAAATGTGATCAAAGAAAGTTAGGGTTGGAAAACTAATGGCCATAAAAGAAAACACACAATGCCATAACTACAATCAGAATATTTAATACGAACAAAAGCTCAATTTAGGTATTAAATCTTTCCTGATAAATTTACATGGAAAAAGTCCCTGATTCCCTACATGAAAATCATTTTACTAAGATGAAGCAAAAATTAATAGGAAATGTTTGTCTGCACACATACAAAAACTTAGTGCTAGAGAGTGAACACAAGGTCTTGGTCCTGGTGGAAAAGTGCTCTGTCACTGAGCTACACGTCCAGCCCAATCAAAGAAATGATACGGCCTACTGCTCTTTGCTTCAGGGAACTCTCTCTTGATAATAATTCACAACTGTTAATATAACTCTTGTTAAAATATATATGGTGATGAATATAGCATCACCATATATAGGGTCTGAATGTCAATGTTAAACTATCCCAAAGTTAAATCAGGAAAGTTTAAGTGTACCATACATTCTTGAAGTTTAATACAGGTTGAGTATCCTATATCTAACATGTTTGGGACTAGAAGTTTCTTGGATTTAGGTTTCTTCATATTTGAAGTATTTATATATAGATAATTAAATATCTTCAGAATGGGGCCCAGGGATATTTCTTTTTAGTTCTTCTTTTTTCAAGATTTATTTTTATTATTTTTAAATTATGTATATGTCTTGCCTATGTTTTGGTATGTGCACATGGCTGCAGATGCCCATGAAGGCCAGAGCCATAGGATTCCCCTGGATCTGTGGTTACAAGTGATGTGAGCCTCTCAGTGTGGTTGCAGGAATTTGAACTTGAATCCTCTGGGAAAGAAATATATACTCTAAAAACCCAAACGATCTTTCCAGCATCAAAATGTATTTTAATTATATGCATGTGTGTGTTTCTGCATATGAATATATGCATGTAAATGTGGGTACCCACAAAAGCCAGAAGAGAGCTTTAGATACCCTGGAGCTGGAGTTCTAAGGTGCTGTGAGCCACCAAATACAGGTATCAGGACCTGAACTTCAATCCTCTCTAAGAGAAGCAAAAGCTCTCAACCATAGAGCTACTTCTCCAGCCTTTCTTTTAAAAGAATTTCACTAATTTATATTCACTGTTCAAAGCAATCAGTTTCATATTGATATTTTGTTCAAGTATATCACATACTTGGATATATTTACTCTTGCATTACCCTCCCCTCCCCATTGCCAAAATTTCATATTTCTATTGTATATATGTCTTATAAAAGTATAACTTGAAGGAAATTTTATGTAATACTTTTAGTGGACCTGCATTTTTGTATGTATGTTGTATGCATGCATTTATATATATATATATATGCATGTTCAAATGTGTGGGTACACATATGTGTGCAAGTGTGTACATGTGAAACTGTGTGCCTGTGGATGTGGAAACCCAAGGTTTCCTATTGCTCTTACTATATTCACTGTGGCAGTGTTCCTCACTTGAATCTAGAATCTGCCTACACAGGCCAGGTGGGGATGGCGCACACCTTTAATCCCAGCACTCGGGAGGCAGAGCCAGGAGGATGTCTGTGAGTTCGAGACCAGCCTGGTCTACAGAGCTAGTTCCAGGACAGCCTCCAAAGCCACAGAGAAACCCTGTCTCGGAAAAAAAAATCTGTCTACACAGCTAGTGTGACTAACCAGCTTGCTCCAGGGATCCCCTGTTTTTGCCTACTAAGCACTAGAATCACAGGCAAGCTGCCATGTCCACTCAGCATTTATGTGGATGCTAGAAATTCAAATTGGTCCTCATTCTTGCAACCACTTTAATCACTGAAAAATCTCCTTGGCCACTAGAATGCCTGCAGGCTGACCGTAAACTCCATCACTTGAGATTAAATATGGAATTTTTCACTTGCAGAATTAGATCAGCACTCAATGTGCTTCAGACTTTGAAAATTTTAAATGTTGGATGTTCAAATTATGAATACTCAATCTGGATATTTAAAAAGCACAATAATATTCTTACTGACAAAATGTACCACCAACAAATGTACACAGCTTCCTGGTAAGATACTTGGAGCAACTTGAATAAAAAAGTATAGACATGAACATTGATGAGAATTCTATATTGTTTGGCTTTTGTGGTAAATGACCTTGCTTCAATCCATACATATTGAAGTATGAGTATTTTTATCTTTTGCACAAGTTACTTTGGAGGGATGACTGGGATAGAACCTAAGGCTTTCAACATGTTAGGCAAGAGCTCAACCCTGAACCAAATTCCTTTTTTTTTTTGTATGTTTTTTCAAGACAGGGTTTCTCTGTGTTTCTCTGGCTATCCTGGAACTCACTCTGGCCTCACACTCAAAGAGATCCACCTGCTTCTGCCTCCTTAGTGCTGGGATTAAAGGTATTTGCCACCACTGAACCAAATTCTTAATTCCTAGCCCTGTGTTCCAACCTGCAGGTATTCTTCAACTCCAAGGATTGCTAGAAACAACCACTTTCTCAGAAGAATACAAGCATCATAAAAGATTCTGAGTTCAGAATAAGCTCCAAGGCAATGCATAAAGAGACTGCATAAGACACTACTGGAAGAGATCCTTTACTTTAACCTTTTCAGATTGATGTTCCTCACTGGGCACAATCTTGTTAGGCTGAGCTTTCTCAGGCTCCAGTTTGGAGCTTTTGGGTAGTAGTGGTGGTGGCATCTTAATACAGATTCAGCAGTGTTTCATCCAAGGCAGAGCTGCAATCAAAAAGAAATGCTTTAAAATAGTATTCACCAGAATTATCACAAAATTCTGTAGACACTCTTAAGAAAACTTAGTTTTTCTCTAGCATCTCTAGGAAGATGCATAGCTTAAATGTATATCCAGTAAATCTGGGTACAAAGCTTTATTCTATTGCAATTAACCTTGAGAAAATGACTTAAACAACATGGGCTTCAGCTGCCTCACCTATAAACTAGAAGTAAGTACACCTATCTCTATTTACAGGGTCTTTTAATTGAGACATGCCACCCTCTATATAAGTACCATGGCTACGTCTTAGTCCATAGTTTAGATTCAGGAATACTAAGCACAAATTTACATAAGTGTTGTACACTGAAACAATCAAATACATGACAACTTATATAGCATGGTTACTATCTGGTGGACTTGATATTTTTTAAAGTTCTGGGCACAGAAATTATGACACTACACAAAAATACAGGAGGATGACTGCATACAGCCATGTATACATGACAGGCAAGATTGTAACCAAAGCTGGCATTCAATTAGAAGATACTATAATCTAATTCTATCTAGGTATCTTATCTAGACACCTAGGCAGGAAAACAAATAGAAAAGTTAAGAGCAGAAGGAAAGGAAATACTGAAAATAATATGTGATAAGAATTTAAGTCACAACATCCCTTAGGAGAGTTTTAGATTTGCCAATCTCAGTATGGGATTTTAGTTTATAATCTAAAAGGTTCTTTTAGATTATTACATTACCTCAGTAGTTACATTACACATAAGTGCTGGGAAGCGGTGGCATATGTATTTAATCCCAGCACTTGGGAGGCAGAGGCAAGTGGATCTCTGAGTTGGAGGCCAGCCTGTTCTACAGTGAGGTCCAGGACAGCCAGGGCTACACAGAGAAACCCTCCCTGCCTCAAAAGAAAAGGATATACATATGCACCTTACAAACAGCTACATTATTATTATTATTATTATTATTTGTTTTTCGAGACAGGGTTTCTCTGTATTGTTTTGGAGGCTGTCCTGGAACTCACTCTGTAGAGCTGGCTGGCCTCGAACTCAGAGATCCGCCTGCCTCTGCCTCCTGAGTGCTGGGATTGGAGGTGTGTACCAACAGCACCCAGCTAAGCAGCTACATTATTATAAAATTGCTGTTCAGTTACACAAGAGATCCTTTCAACTCTGAGAGCTGCCCTTTCAAATTCAATTTCCATTTTACAGTAGCAAATGAGTGAAGTGAATGACTATCCCCTAACAAAATATTAATCAATACAGATTAGCACACTTTCTAAAGTACTATAGTCTTTCTGATCATGTTTGAAAACATTTCAAAAAATTGAAAGTTTGCAGTATAAAGAGGTAGAATGGACATAGGTTTTAGCATTTTAGTAATCAGGCTTCTAAATCAGTTAATTTACCATCTCTGAGTCTCAAGAACCTCATTTGCAAAACAACTGTAGTACCACTTACATGAAGAGAAGTCATGCAGCTCAAATATAAATCTGCATGTATAAAGCATACATAGTAGGAGCTCAATAAATATATATTCCTCTCCTCTCAAACCCAAACCAATTTTTTATCTCAAGCCCCCAAAACTCAGGCAAGCAGCAATAAATTTAGACTGGATACACCTATCATTTAGAATGCTGTATGAAATCACTTATACCACTATCGCCATTCTTGTTTCAACTACATTGTTTATGACTTACCCCTACCTTTCAAAAGAAAAGAAGAAATATGGTGTCAAGAGACTAGCAAACTCTCAGCTGATGACTACAGACTAAACCCCAGAAAAATAAAACCATGCAGATGATGGCTTATACTCATTATCCAGAATACAAAGCATCTGCTTTGAGGGATACATACACTAATTTAGGTAAACTCATACCCCAGCCACCAGAGACAAACAGAGCAGAAGGGGGGCAACACTCTCTAAAACACTCTTTTATAAAGGGATATTTCGGGGCTGCGGACGTGGCTCAGCGGGTAAAAGATTTGCTCTGCAAGTATGAGGACCTGAGTTTAGATCCAGATCACTCATGTAAAAGCCTGGCATACTGGTACGCGCCCATAATCCCAGAACTGGAAGAGGAAGGAGGAGGAGATGGATGGATCCCTGGTACTCCTTAGCCATCCAATCTAAACAGTCTATGAGTTCCAAGTTTAGTGAGACAACTTGCTGCAAAAAAAAAAATGGACATCACGTAAAGAAGGCACTTAGGCTTTGATCTCTGGCCTTACTCGTGTGTGTGTGTGTGTGTGTGTGTGTGTATGTGTGTGTGTAAAATAAAAATAAAATAGAAGCCATGAAAGGGCACTCTTGATTTCTACCACCTACAAAACCTCAAACCTTCCTTAGAGGAAAAAATCGAATACTTTCCCCTTTCCAGATCTTCTGTCTCCCCAATTTTATGCTGATAATTGTTGGATTCTCTACTGTGCATTCTAAACCACACAAGGGTGTCAGAGTGAATCTGATCAAAACAGAGTACAGGAATGAGTATCAACATCATTTCACATCCAAGGCAGTTGAATGAAGCAAAGCACTGGGAGGAGGGCATATCACAGTGCCAGTGAAAGCAGCACTGGGGCAGAAAATGCCTAATGTAGCTGTGACCCCGTCAGTGATTATGTTGATAACACTGGGAAGTCTGCACTTGGATTTTCCAACTAATAAAATGAGGCAATGTGACCACAGATGTCTCCTTGTTCAAAGTATGATCAATGACATGCAACATTAGCAAAACTTGGGAGATTTACAAAGTCCGAGTACGCAACTAAACAATATCTCCAGGTACTTTGTATGCATTTTAAAGTTTAAGAGGCACTATTCTGCAGTCCCTTGGACCTCTCACCTTCAAATACTCTAATTTATTCTTAGTAGAAGACATCCCTAGGAAAAACAAAGTTGAAGGGGCCTTAAGTGTCTATCCCTGGAATACAAACAGTCATCGTGTGCCCATAGCACATAGAGGGATGCTCTCTCAGCCTGGACTCTTAGGGGAGTGCCTGGACCCTACCCTGAGTGAAATGACAGACTCTAGATATCCCCTATGTGGAAGGAATTGGCAATAGGGTGGGAGGCTGGGGGGATAGGGAGTGCGGGAGGAGGGGAGGGAGAGGGAACTGGGATTGACATGTAAAACAAGCTATTTAAAATTAAAATAAAAAGTGATAATAAAAAATTTAAAAGAGTCAGTAGTAATAAAAGGGATAACAAGAGAAAAAAAACTAGTTTTTATCTGTAGTCCCACACACATTTTCAAGTGGCATTCTCTGTCTTAGAAATCCATCAGATCTCACAGCACTTGTGCATGAGATCAATCATGCATACTTTCACTTGTGAAAAACCACTTGTAAAAGTACTCTGATAGCAGCCATGTGTACTGGATAATCCACCTGAGTTGAAACCCATTCATTAGCTTTCCTATCTCATCCCCCAGTAAACACTCCTTGCTCCACTTTGTACTGGGTTTACTCTAAATAGTTTTGACTGACAGAAGAAGACCAATATTTCCTTACGGGTATACAATGCATTCCAACAAGAGAAGACAGAGTGCGACAAGTAGGTGGAGTGACCCAAGGACCAACTAGCAGGTGACAGTGCCAGACAATTGAGCTGACAGTAGAAAACAAAGGTGTCTCCCTCCCACAGAGATTAAGGAAAAGAGTAAGAAACACCAGGAAAAGAACAAAGATACATGTCCTTACCTACCCTGTCTGTCTCAACCAGTCCTGGGTTCTCTCTAACAAGGCTCACTAGAGTTTGCTCCAGGAGAAAGTAAAATGCTGACTGGTTAGCAGGGTGCCAAGCAGCACATACAGATACTATGATCCCCTGAAAAAAAGAGGAAACGGGAATTTTTAAACTGAACTCCTGGGCTACTGGACCTGCCATTTGTTTGTGGTTTTGAGATGGACCAGGCTTGGGAAGTAATGTGTCTCTACAAAGACATGTTTCCATTCTCCTGGAGGATGGGGAAAGAAGAACCACTGAAAAATGTAGTGTCACATCAATTAAAACAATTAACTACCCTTATAGAGTCCAGTATTAAGTCCTGGAGGCTTTAAAAATGGCCTTGTAGGAGAAACATGACATAAAGTTTGGCCCCTATTTTATGAATGAGCACCTGAAGGGCAGAAAGCTAGTAGAAATTAAAATTAATTCAGCCCTAGCTCGATGCTAATTGTAGCAAAAAGTTGAATTGCTTTACATGCTGACCAAAAAAGATAAGCACTTTCATTATTCCCATTTTACAGAGGACAGTATGCAGCTTGCTAAGTGCCCAATATCAGAAAGCTACATGGAGGTATAGCAATTCTAAAATACAGATATTCTCATTTATTTCACTTATATATTAATTTAGTTGTTGAACAAATTACTTAAAGAACAGAGGCTGTGTTCCCAGTACTAGAAAATATGAAGGAGGAATTAACAGAAAGTTTACAGAATTTATAATCTAACTAATCCTGTGAGGAGGCAAAGAGAAAACAGAGATGCCAGGGATAAATCCTGGACTTCAACTGCAAGTACTCTACCACAGAAACCACATCCTTACCCTCATTATTAACCGCGCTCCTGACAGTCTCTCACAGTGTCTACATAAAAATATTAATATGCCTAAGAGTGGAGTTGCTGGGTCTTGTGGTAGGTTTATTCCCAGATGCCCATTCATACAACAAAGATGTCTGTTCCACTATGTTCATAGCAGCTTTATTTGTAATTGCCAGAACGTGGAAGCAACCTAGATGTCCCTCACCTGAAGAGTGGATAGAGAAAATGTGGTACATCTACACAATGGAGTACTATTCAGCAGAAAAAAATAATGGAATCATGAGATTCGCAGGCAAATGGACGACACTAGAAGAAACCATCCTGAGTGAGGTAACCCAGTCACAAAAAGAGAAACATGGCATGTACTCTCTCATATATGGATTTTAGACATAGATCTGGGGAGTGCCAGCCTTCAATCCTATGGCCAGAGAGTCTGGGAAACAGAAACTTTATTTAGTGGCCGATCGAAGAAGAGGCAGACTCCCTTGGTTAAGTACTGAGCTGAACTCAAGAAAGCCAGTAACAGAGAGGGAGGACTGATGATCAAAGGGATTAAGACTGGGCTGGTTTAACCCCCAGAAACAGCTGACCAGACAAAGGTTAACTCTTGAATCCCAGGCATCAGCCTGGGAAGCCAGCATGGGACTGATCAAGACCCCCTGAATCTGGGTGTCAGTGAGGAGGCCTAGGTAATCTATTGAGCCTTGGGCAGCAGATCAGTACCCATGCCAAGTATACACACGGACTTTGGACTCCCATAGAACAATGTGAGGTGCACTCTCACCCGAACTCTTGGGGAAGGGTCTAGGCCCTGCCCTATATGAAATGACACACTATGCACACCCCCATGGAGGGCCTCACCCTCCCTGGAGAAATGAGGGGATAACGGGGGGGGGGCACGGGAGGAAGGGAGGGAATGGGAGAGGGACCTGGAACTGACTTGTGAAGCAACCTTGTTTCTTATCTAAATTTAAACTGGAAAATAAAATTTAAAAAAAGCAAATAAAATAAATAAAAATAAAAAAAATATTAATATGATCCCAGGTCCTCTCCTTTTTATAATCTCCTATCCACATGACTTCCTGTAAGCATCATCACTGCGCATAACTGTGTCCCACAAGGATTAAAAATTAGCTGGGTGTTGGTTGCTCATGCCTTTAATCCCAGTACTCAGGAGACAGAGGCAGGTGGATCTCTCTGAGTTTGAGACCAGCCTGGTCTACAGAGCGAGTTCCAGGACAATCTCCAAAACAATACAGAGAAATCCTGTCTCGAAAAACAAAAAAAAAATTAATTTGAGTCACTATTCTTTAGTCAACAGAAGAAAAGGCTCACCAATCAAAAGCAACATACAAATCAAAAGAGACGTAATTTAGGTTTACCTATAGCCTTCTAGCTCATCATTTAAAAAAAGCAAAACAATAAAGAACCTGGGCCCTTCCCCAGGATGATGTGACAGACCCTGAAGATCCCTCATTGAGGCTCTCGCCCTCCCTGGGGAGTGGAGGGGGGTGGAGTGGGGGTGATGGGTTGGGAGGATTGGGGGGCGGGGTAGGAGGGGCGGGAGAAGGAACTGAAACTAACATGCGTAAAAAGTTAAATAAAAAATATATGGAAAAAATCACCCAGCAAAAGGTTTTTTAAAACTCATTTTGGTTTTTGACATAAGATTCCACCTGGCAAAACCAGCAGAGACAGCTGATCTGAACAGGGGAGAGCTCTTGGACCCCAGACTGACAGTGGGGAGGCCAGCATGGGACTGATCTGGACCCCCCAAATGTGAGAGTCAGTGAGAAGGCCTGGGCAACCTATGGGGCCTTGAGCAGTGGATCAGTGTCTATCCCTGGAATACAAACTGTCTTCATGTGCCTATAGCACAAAGAGAGATGCTCTCTCAGCCTGGACTCTTAGGGGAGTGCCTGGACCCTGCCCTGAGTGAAATGACAGACTCTAGATATCCCCTATGTGGAAGGAAGTGGCAATAGGGTGGGAGGCTGGGGGGGGGGAAGGGGAGTGCGGGAGGAGGGGAGGGAGAGGGAACTGGGGTTGACATGTAAAACAAGCTATTTAAAATTAAAATAAAAAGGATATAAAAAAACAAAACAAAAAACCCAAAAAACAGCAACAACAACAAAAAAAAGATTCCACCTGAACTGGCTTCAAATTCAGGATTGTCATGCCTCATTTTCCAAGTGCTGGGGGTATGGGCATGAACCACCATAACTGGCTTTTTCTGAAAACTAAAAATATTTTTCCCTTAGTCATCATGTCTCAAGTTCATTTAACCTTCTCTTAGAGAAGTAACCAAAAAGAACATGGAGGAAAGAGGAACTAACCCTTAACTCACGCATCTTCCAATAGACCACTCCCAGGCATGCAATATGAGCTGTCCCTTCTTTTCCTCCCTATACCCTACATTAAAGTCCAGTAGAAAAAGTTATCTATTTCACATTAAAATACATTCTAGATGTATCCATGATTCAAGTGTGAGAATGAAGACATGGAAATATAGATAAAAATGAAAGAATATTTTTATAACTTTAGAGAAAAATTCTTAACAACAAACAGCTTGATAGCTGCAAAGGAGGAATGGCACCTTTCAAATTGAGGTAAAAATTTGTGAATGACAATGGATTTCTCATCAGGAACGACCAGGCCAGGAGTAACACTGTTTTCCAACAACTAAAAGCAGAAATCTGCCAAATGAAAAATATATACACAGAGACAATATACTTTACGAGTGAAGGGGGAAATCAAGTGTCTCCCGGAGTATGGGAAAGCAAGAGAATCTGTCACCAATAATCTACAAACAGAATGTTCACAAATTAGCAAAAGAAATAAGCACACTATTTTTAAAATAAAAAAGATAATAGGGATACTGGAAAACCAAGAAAAAACAATGAAAAGAGTAAAAAATAATGGAGGGGCTAGAGAGATAGGTTGGTGGTTAAGCGTGCTTACTGTTCAATTCCTAGCACACACTCACATGATAATTCACAATTGCTGGCAACTCCAGTTCCAGGGCATCTGACAATGAAAAGGAAAAAACAAATTAGTGAAGGTAAAAAAAAACCTGGTAGTTTAATAGATGAAACATTTGACAAGCTCTAGCAAGACAGACAAGGAAGAGAGGGAACTTAATATAAAAATGACACAGAGAGAAGCTAGAGAGAGGGTGTAGCAGTTAGGAGCACCTGTTGCTCTCACAGAGGACTCTTCAGTTTCCAGGACCTATATTGGGTGGCTCAAAATGGGATGTAATTCTAATTCCAGGGATCCATGTCATCTTCTAGACTCCAGAAGTATTCACATGGCATGCATGCAACACACACACACACACACACACACACACACACACACACACACGTGCATGCATGCATGTGTATATGTGTACTCTTACACTTAATAAAAATAAATCTTAAGAGACAGGAATATAGTATTGAGGCATGATATACAATAATGACTGAAATCAATAATGTGGTAGATATTGCTAACTTTCAAATTTAAGAAAGTAAATCTTAGTGGCCCCTGGGTATGGTAGCATAAACCTATAACTGATAGTTAGTTCAAAGCCAGCCTGGACTACATATGTAGACCATGTATCAAAAAAAAGAAGGAGTTGGAGCAGAGAAACAGAGAAATAGAAAAAACAAATAAAAACATGAGAAATAAAACGAATACCTTAATTTCAGTGATACTGTGATAGATATTATGTGACTAAATTCATCAAATAATACATATTAAATATTTGCAGCTCTTACATTTCAATTATGTTTTAATAAAACTATTTAAAATAGGAAACCAAAGTATATCACTACAGACCCTGCTGACATCAATAGAATCAGTGCATATGTGTATGCAAACAATCAATACAGCAATTCATTGGAAATCACAAATGTCCATAGCACACCCAATATGAAGCAATTTGAATAAAGTTTTTAAAATATTTTTACTTTTAAAAATTTAATATATTCATACAATGTTTATTGATCGGATACACCCCTAACTACCTCCCAACTCTCCCTGGTGTCCTAGACCCCATATTCCTCCAAATTCTACATTTTCCCTGAGTCCAATTACTGCTGTCCATGTCCACATTAGTTCTATGCCTATCTCAAAAAAATAAAACCCTCAGGAGGTAACATGTGAGCCGAGTGATACCCAAACCATCTAAAGACAAGGATAGAATAGGAAAACTTCTGACCAACATCCACTCATACTATAGAAGCAAAATCATTAATATATGCACAGGGCTATAAGCCCACATCTTAAAAAATTAAAAATTTTTAATTTATAATCCCTCTAAAAATTAAACTCCAGTCCCAGATACTTTAAATGGAGAGATAAAACAAGCATTTAAAGAATATTTAACATTGCTTCTATTCCTCAAAGATCAAAACCTCAGGAGGTAACATGCCAACTCAGTGATACTGAAACCATTCAAAGACAACAAAAATAGAACTTCTGGTCAACATCACACATAAAACATAGAAGCAAATCCTTAATATGTGCATATAGATAGAAGCCTGCAGTTAAAAAATACATTTTTAATTCATAATTCCTCCAAAACTTTAAACATTTAAAGAATATTTAACATTACTTCTATGCCTATCTCAAAGATCAAAACCTCAGGAGGTAACATGCCAACTCAGTGATACTAAAACCATTCAAAGACAACACAAAAGAGAAAATCACAGGCAAACATCACTCATAATAAAGAAGCAAAATCCTTAAGAAGATATTAACAAACTTATTTTAGCAATATATTAAAAATTACCACTAACAAATGAATTTATTACAAGGGCAGGAGACTTAATCCAAAAATCAAATATATGTAAACCACTATGTATACAGATAGGAAGAAGGGAACCTACAGAAAAAAATATTAGAGCTAGCAAACAAAAAGTAATCTGAAATGAAATTAAGAAAAAAATTCTCTTCACAATGGCATCACTAAAAATCAATTTAGCAAAAAGAAGTACATTCAAAAATCACCATAAGTGATTGCTGAGTGACTAAGAGTCTCCTAAATCTTATTACAGAGCTGGAAATTTGTTCCATCACTGAACCTATATTTTAAAAAACTAAGAAAATTCATCTAATACAAAGTATACGGGTTTCAGAATAGGGAATACTATTAGAGACGAATTACCAAATTCCCCTTTGGGAAGCAACTTCTCAAAATGTACTTTTTTTTTTGGTCTTTCATCGTTTCTGTGTGTAGTCCTGTCTGTCCTGGAACTCATTCTGTAGACCAGCCTGGCCTCGAACTCACAGAGATCCGCCTGCCTCTGCCTCCCGAGTGCTGGGATTAAAGGCGAGCGCCACCACTACCGCTCGGCTTCAAAATGTAAATTTTGAAAAAACATTTTTCTAAAAGCTGCTAGCCCTAGTAACCACATAAGCTCACTGCCCCTATCCAGTATCCTGATTTGTGGTAGTCTAAGGCTGACTGGTAACGTGGGAGTTGAAGGACATCTTCGAGGCCCATGTTGCAGTGAGTCTGGGCCGAAGTGCTAAGGGGAACCCAAAAAACTTCATGCTTAAAGATCTCCTTACAGCTAACAAAGACATTATCTAGACTGAAAAATTAAGCTTTTAGCATGAAATAATAGTACATCTAAGCACTTTAAAAAATTTTTCCTTTCAGGTGTTCAAATTCGATGGTATGACAGAAAAACGCCAGGGTACAGTCGCTAGTTCTGTCAGCCAAATTTCCTCCAGCATTTTGACCCCTGACACCAAATATAAATGTGTGAAGCAAAAGGATTCATACAGACAATAAAACAAGTACTTTTACTAAGTTAAAGAATCATAGACAATTGTTGGAATACTGGGAACGTTCCAATCTATGGAGGAAAAAAATCGTTTTCTATAATTTAGAAATGGGGAGAACCCCAACCAAAATTAAAAATAAGGTGTGGGCTACTGTAGAGAGAGTACTAACGAACTGCCAACTGAAATTAAATAAAAATAACGTGGGAACTACCTGGAACACGGACTGCATCAGTATAACCGCCGCCGGGCCAACAGCCGTTACCAACTGCCACTAGGGATTAAAAGGCTCAAAGAAAAACTGACAAGGGCCCTACCATTTCCTGCCAGGGGGTGAAACAGAATCAGTACTTCCCTCAGTAGGGATTTAAACTAAATGATGGGGTCAAAAGAACATAGTAGGGAGTTTGTAATGTTTGTTAAATTATTTCTTGCCTGAATCTCCAGAGTCCATAAGAAATAAAAGAATTACAAATCTCTGAGTGTGCCTGTGCACCCCTGTCAGCCTCAAAACAATGGAAGCGGCCAGAAACAAATTTCCCCTCCCCCAACCATCAGTGCGACAGCTCCAAGTTTATAAAATGGAGGCCAAGCCTCTGATTATGTACCTCCAGTAGAGAAGTGAGTTAGAATCCTAAAACTACCAAAAGACAACCTGTTTCTGAATAAAATAATACCTGTTTTAACCAACTTACAATAAAAAATATAAATCGTAGCATGATATACAATAATAGGGTGACTAGACGAGACAGTTTTCTGGCACAATCACATGCCTAGATGAGACAGGTTACCAAACTGGGTCGGGAGTTGTTGGGCTTGTTCTAAAATGACATTTTTTTTTCAGGGTAAGCGGTTTTCTGGGAAAACCACTTGAGTAGATGAGACAGTTTACCAAGCCGGGTTGGGAGCCAGGCTTGTTTTAAAATGACATTTATTTTTTTCCAAGGTAAGGTCTTCCTAAATATCTCAGGCTGGTCTGCAACTAGCCCCATAACCTTAGCCTAGGCTGGAAGACCTTTGTTTTTTTTTCTTTCTTATAAGGAGTTTATTACCTTATTGATGGTCTACGCCTCAATTTATTTGAGATTATAATTACAACATTTCTCCCTTCTCTTTCTCCCTTCAAACCTTCCCATATACTCCTCACCTCTCTCTCTCTCTCTCTCTCTCTCTCTCTCTCTCTCTCTCTCTCTCTCTCTCCCTCCCTCCCTCCCTCCCTCCCTCCCTCCCTCCCTCCCTCCCTCCCTCCCTCCCTCTCTCTCTCTCTCTCTCTCTCTCTCTCTCTCTCTCTCTCTCTCTCGTTCTCTTTTTTCAAGACAGGGTTTATCTGTGTAGCTTTGGAGGCTGTCCTGGAACTCGCTTTTGTAGACCAGGCTGGCCTCGAACTCACAGAGATCCACCTGCCTCTGCCTCCCGAGTGCTCTTTCAAATTCTACTGGCAAACCAAATCTGCTTCTCCAAAATAGTTGAAAGTCTACAAGGGAATAGAACAGTCCTTAGCTGTCTAATTAAGCCTCTGACTGCAGAGTTTATATTTACCTCTGAAAGTTCCCCTATAAAATGTAAAATATAAATGAGAATGTTTACAGATACTAAAATGTTCCATGCTAGATTGTTACTGACAACCATGCTAATCAGGCGTCCTTTAATAGTGACCCGACCAAGAGTAGGCTATTGCCCCAGGCATTTGAAAGGACAAAAACAAAACATAAAACCTTAAAAGCAGAATCACATTAGTGTTTGAGGGAGCTGGAGCAACCTTGTGACATCTGTCTTTTTGTAGACATTAGCAGTATTTTCCAGACACAACACTCCAATTAATTTTGATTTACATTTCCTCTAATTGTTTTTGTTTTCTCTTTTAGATTATATAAGCATTAATTATTTTGGTTAATAAGGATGGACGATGGCCAGGGTCCTAGACACTCTCAAAAGCATTGCCAAGGCAGATGTGGCTATTGGGGGATAGGAGACTAAGGGGTGTCTAAGGAGACACAAAATAAAGTCAGAAGAAGATGACACTACCTTTGTCACCTCAATATTTAAGCCCTTTATTTTTTTCCTCTATTCTCAATCATGAAAAAGACATGTGTATATAATCCATAACATACTTTCTTTTCACTAATTGTTATTCCATTCACCTTGATTTAATCATTATACAATGTATAGGTGTATCCCAACATCACTACATATCAAAAAGAAAATAAATTATTGCCAGCATGTTAACTCTTCCTGCCTACATAATTCCATAT